GGTTGTGGCCGCCTCCACCTGTTACATAATGACATAGTGGACCCCTGCTTTATGATCAGCTCCCAATGCGACCAATTATGTAAGTGTATTTATGTAAGTGCGTTTGTACATGTATGTTTGGGGGTCTGAAATGGACTAATCTAATTGATAATATTCCTTATGGGAACAAATTCCTTCAGTAATGGCACCTGAACATACTTCTGGAATTAAATAATATCGTAAGGCAGGGGTCCACTGTATTTTATTCATTCTAGAGTATATATCGTGTTTCTATGTTATTTATATTGTCTGTTATGTCATATTAGATGAACTGTGATATATAAATACGCCGTATAGATAATATTAGCGAAATTATTCATGAAGTATTTTGCCCAGTCTCCAGACAAACTCTCGTCCACCGCCGACACCGCCCATACCACTACATGAATGACATTTTATTCATTTTAGAGTATATATCAGGTTTTTATGTTATTTATATTGTTTATTACGTGTATGTCATATTAGATGAAGTAAGATAGATAAATAAGCGGTAGAGTTGATATTAGCGAAATTATTGAAGCACAGAATTCCACTGGAACGGATTAATTGCATTTCAATTAATTTAAATGAAGAAAATTGACTCTGCAAACGAGCAAATCCAGTTGCGAGCAAGGTCATGAAACGGATTACACTCGCAAGTAAAGGTTCCACTGTATCAACGTTTTATACACATTTAATGCGCCTCGGTGACTATTATTGTGTTATCATTATTAATATGGCGTCTTCAAGACCAATTACACTCAATGAGTGGTTGAGACAGACAGGCAGACAGAAAGACAGACACAGGTAGACAGACACACAGGTAGACAGAGAAAGACACACAGGTAGACACACACACACAGGTAGACAGAGAGACAGGTAGACAGAGAGACAGGTAGACAGAGACAGGTAGACAGATAAACAGACACACACAGATATACAGGCAGACAGATACAGACAGGTTTATGTGCAAAAGTGAAAACAAATAGAGAGTTCGAGAGTAAGAGCCTTTCTTGCCACAATCTCCAGTGCAAGATTCAGACTTCATCTTAGGGGCCATAGTGAAATTTACTGTCCAGTTAGTACAGTTAATACAGTATGATGCTGCTGATAGGGCAGGGTTACTCAAACTGATGCTGCCTGCATGACGCATTGCCGCCATGAGTATTGTCAAATACATGTATTGTACAGTGGTGTGCATCAGCCGGCCCAGCCCAGCTGCCAGATGCACGGTCGTAAGTCGAGTGGACGTATGTCGAGCAGGTCGTAAGTCGGATGGTAGGTGTATTTATTTCTGTTTTCTGTATGTAAAACTATAGTTATTCTCTATAAAATGTATTTTTTGTTAACATTTTTGGGGAAGTGGAACAGAATTCTTCCTCCATAAGCCATGTGTGTCGTAAGAGGTGGCTATATATACACATTACTAAATTTAAAAGGAGGAACTTTCGTTTTTCCTTTTGGGCCACCCCACCTCGGTGGGATACGGCTGGTACGTTGAAAGAATGATATTTGGGTGTCTGGAACGAATTAATTGAATTTACATTACTAGAAATATTGCTTCAGTTTTCATTGAATTCGGTTTTCGTCAGACTTTCTGGAACAAATTATCGAGGAAAACAGAGGTTTCACTGTAGTAAAATTATTGTCCAATACTAAATGGATAAAAAATTAATTATGTTTGTAGGCAAGCCACTAAAACCCCTTTAACCTTTCACTGTCCAGACCCCCAATCTGAAACTTGTCCACAGTGTCCAAGAATTTTCAAAAATTTTATTTTTTTCTTATGAAATGGTAAGAGAATCTTTCTAAAGGTAATAAAACAAGTACAAAATTTGCTGGAAAATTGACAAAATTATGCTACTGCAAATTTTGCTGTGTCTGCGATATTTACACATTGGCAATTTTACCCACTGAGTCATATTTTAGGTCAATTACATTGTTTCAGTAAACCAAATTCTTAGCTATTTTGCTACTGTCTTTCATTTTATCAACTGAGCACAAATGGCTAAATCAACTACTTAACTACTCAATAAAATGATCAGAAATTGGTAATATGGCCAATTTCAAAACAGGATCCACAATAAACAATGCAGGCATTCCTGCCACTAAAATAACTAGTAGAAAGGAACCTAGAGTAAGAATTGAAGGCCTGACTAGGCTAGTGGTTGGGGGTGTGGACTTCCAAGAGAATTCAGTGATAACTTGCATAGTACAGTTTTGAACAGTATGAGTTTTGATATACAGTTTATAAATTTAATAATATTAATTTTATTTAACTGCATTATACACCGATACTGCACTGCTGCTGTGTACCAGACTAGCATAATGCAAACATCAGTATCACTTCAGACACTGAGCAGTAAAGTTGTGTACACAATTTTTCTTTATTATATACAATATTGGTACCCCTTTTATATGCAAATGCCAGTGGAAAGAGGAAATACAATGGCACTGAGCATCCTAGTAAACGTAAATGGGTAACAGATGAAAAACTAAAAATTATGTAACAAAATGAAGATGGTGCATGGTATGCTAAAACAGCAAGGGACAAGAAAATGAACAAAGCATCAGTACATGCACATATAACAGATAAAATAAAAAGACATGGAATGACTATAGCAGCTTATATATCAAAAGTGATTGTTAAAAATGGTAACTCTGAAGTGGATAATATGAAACATCTTTTAATGTTATGGACTGAAGACTGCAGCCAGAAAAGAATTCCATTAAGTCAGATGATTCAAGCTAAAGCAACAAGTCTATTCAATAATAATAAAAAAATAATGAAGGAAGAGGAAAGTTATGGCAATTCAAGCTGGTTTTACAACTTTAAAAAGTGTATGGGACTCCATAATGTTCAAATTACTGGGCAAAGTGCCAGTGCAGACAATGAGGTAGCGGCAAGATTTCCTAATGATCTAAAAAAAAATTTTTTTTCAAGAAAATGACTACAAAGACTAGCAAATTAATTTTTAAGGTAGATGAAATGGGTTTGCCTTGGAAGAAGATGCCAGCATGAAATGCATCACAGCATTGTTCCATTGATTTTACTAGCTTTGAATCCCATACTGAAATGGTTTAAAAACATTGTGCAGCTTGGAAAGATCATCTCAGATTAGAAGCTTTAGATAGTGAAAATGTGTGTCAATGCATTGACTCGCATTCCGATGACCTAGATGATGCAACACTTGTGGAAATGGATCAGCAACGTTTATACAAAGAAAGAGGAAAAATCAAGAAAATGCTGTGCCCATGAAAAAATTTACATAATGAACACTGATCCAAACACTGAACGAGGCATTAGAGTTAGGCAGGAGTTACAAAATATTTGATGCTATAAATACAGTGGACCCCCAGTTTACGATCAGCTCCCAATGTGACCAATTATGTAAGTGTATTTATGTAAGTGCGTTTGTATGTGTATGTTTGGGGGTCTGAAATGGACTAATCTAATTCACAATATTCCTTATGGGAACAAATTCAGTCAGTACTGGCACCTGAACATACTTCTGGAATGAAATAATATCGTAAACCGGGGGTTCACTGTACAGTATATGTATGCTGATAAGAAGAAAAAACTGTGCAAACTATTTTGTTCAACTATTTTTCAAAATAAAAATTATCTTTTTCTTTACCGTATATATGGTACACTTTCTTTACAATAAAAATCTTTAGTACAACTATTTTTTTTTTAACCCCTAAACAATCCAAATGTATATACACGTTCTTACGCGTAGCACCCGAAACGTACATATGTTTTAATTTTCCCGCCTCCAAATTTGGCACGATTGCCCTGAGATGCCTGGTCAGCACTGAATGGGCCTAAACACTTGGTATGCACCATATTAAAAAATCTGGGACCACTTAGTACCTTGTGGGAGCGCCAGTTAAATTGAGCGCCAGCTAGAGCAAACAGTGCGGTAAACACCAAAGATTCACTGATGTAATGTCATATTAAACATGTCGGCCATATCACACTGAGGCAAGGTGACCCAAAAAAGAAAAACCACTTTCACCAGCATTCACACAATATCACTCTTTGCAGAGGTTCCCAGATATGACAGTTTAGATGTCATTCCAAACTGCCAATATCCTAAACCCTTCCTTAAAAGTACAGGCACTGTACTTCCCACCTCCTTGAAGAGATTCAGGGAAACTGGTTAACTAGTTTCCCTGAATCTCTTCATAAAATATTACCCTGCTCACACTCCAACAGCTCGTCAGCAACCCCCCCCCCCCAAAAAAAAAAAAAAAATAAAACTTCTCCATTCACTCCTATCTAACATGCTCACATGTGTAATTTCTTTATTTGCAAGTGTGAGCAAGAGTTTTGTGTACATTGCTTTGTACTAAGCAAACAGCTAGATATTTCTGCAGTCTGATGCATTTAGTCGTATCAACGAAACACATTACATTAAAATGCATTGCAGTGTAATACCTTGATCAGTACAGTATGCATAGTATGATATTTTTGACACACATCAACTGTACTATCCTGATTTTGCATTTTAATATTCCCCATCCTTCAGTAATACTTCCCCAAACAGTTGTCCTGGTGAATATTTTAACTGTACTACGAGTGTAAGGTTTTGTGATCAAGATCCGAGTAATAAATTTACATTTCACCCCTCTAGTTGTATGTAAATATACAATCTTTAGCTCCTTTTCTTTACCCCTTACTAATATTCCTTTTTTTATGTATTCCTGTATAGCATCCCCACCCTATTTATCTCGGCAATACCTAGTTAGAATGAAAGGGAGCTTGTCCCATATGTAATTAGGTACCCTGCAGAGTATTCAGGTGGGGGTGATATTGGTTTGTCAGGAAGTATAGTAGCCAATGAAACTGTAGGAATGAATGTATACAATTTGCTCTGAAGCATACTGTATTAACAGCTACCTTTTTATTATTACAAAATACTGTACTGTATTATCAATGATGAATTCAGTATCAAGATACTTGGCCTAACAGAGCTCACCTGTCATGCAAAGTGTATATAATGTGTCATCTTCAAGAGGCCATGACAGGTGGGTGGGTGGATACTTAGTCTGAGTTGGTGTCAATACTGTCCCATTTTTTACCTCTATTTCTCCAAATTTTACCTGTAAAATTGAGCCATATTAAAATTATGAAATGGTACCACCAAATTCACACACTGAGTCTTTCTATAAACATAATTTACTCTTCACAATGAAATTCATCTATCCTGTATATCAATCTAGCATTCATATTTTCTTGTGAATTAAAGACAAGTATGAATAGAGTAAGATTTTATTGTGGCAGTATTTTGCTCTAGAGCTTTAAGTCAAATTATACAAATTTGCTCTTAACATTTGCTCATTTGAAAAAATGAGGATGGATATATTAATGAATATTAGAAATGAATATTGACTACCACTATATACGTACTATACTACTACACTGTCTTTCCAATTATTAGTCTTTTCTGTACAAGTGTGTGCATTACTGACAATTCATGGCACACCAGTAACTAATTACTTTTGTATCAGTATTAACACCCTATATGGGTACTCATTTTAACCATCTTAAGGTTTGCTTCATGCAAGATTGTAGATTATAAACCAGTGCTACACACCAGTATCAACTGCTCTGTTGCAATACCTTGTACTGGGTTTTGTATCAAGTGTTTCTTGTCATTGATGAAATTTGTTCCTAAATAAAAAATAAAACTGGTTCTATTGTGTGGTTTACCAGGCATTATGTCTGGGTGCATGGAACATGATTTAGATATAGATAGATCAATTTATATTGATACTGCTATATTTATACAGATAATGTAGGTACATAGAAATGAGAGTAAAATGGTAGGCACAAAAAGCCACTAATTATGCAATGCATTTTGGGCAACTAATCATAAGGTTTACAAACTACTTAAGAACTAGAGATACTATTATTAAGGACTTCTTGTGAAATTAAATACAATCATGCATTCAACAAGAAAGGTAGCTAATGACAAAGTGGTCAATTACAAAACATTCACATATATAAACCAGTTCAATTACGGGAAGTTACTTAAATTACAATACAAATCTAATGGGACAATATATGTTACCAGTTATATATGGGAGTTGAAGGAAGGATGAAAGAGCACACGCTATGCAAAAACTCAATGCACATAAAAGGCCCTAAAATCTGGAATTCATTACCTGTAAATATAAAAGAAACACTACCTGTTTATAAATTCAAGTCTCTTCTCAAAGTTCACTTACTCACTCAAAACCAAATAAATACTGAATAAATGAACCATATAAATTGTATATCCTAAATGTTACTTACAATTATATCACACAAATGTTAAACCTAACTTTGTTATTTTTTTAAATACACTACCTAACAGAATACTCCATTCTACTGAATGAACAGTAATGCATGCAACCATTGGACCTGTCTTTGTAATACTCATTTGTATTTTATAGTTATCTGTTTACAATAATGTCTTATCACTGATTTCATCATTGCTTAGTTAATCTTAAGTTAATTTTAAGCCAGCCCGTAATGATATGCATATAAGTGGCTTTGGCATGCTGCTCTTACCTGTATTTTTTGTACTTCTGTTTGTATGCTAAATTTCTAAATAAAATAAAAAAATAAAATAAAAAGTCAATGAGCAAAGGTACTGTTTGACTAGTGAACTGCTGTCTAGATTACATTAAGAACCCCAATGAAAATAAGTCAGACTTTTTTGAGTTATCCTAGCTTCTCTACACATGCTGCTATGTATGATAATCTATGTAACTGTATTTGAGTATACCTGAATAAACTCACTTAAAATTATACAATTTTTTTTTTTTTTTTTTTTTTTTTGGGGGGGGGGGGGAGAGGGGTATAAAAAGTGTGATGCAAATAATAGAGGAGAGAATTGTTGAGATAGTCTGGCAATGCAGAAAGAAAATCCAGTTTAACCTTCTGACTATTTTGACCGTATATATACATCTCACGAGCCAGTGTTTCGGACATATATACACTCGATAATTTTAGCGGCTTCAAATCAAGCAGGAGAAAGCTGGTAGGCCCACATGGAATGGGTCTGTGTTCAGTGTGCACTGTATAAAAAAATCTTGCAGCACGCAGTGCATAATGAGAAAAAAAACTCCGTGTTTTTGGATTAAAATGCTGACTGAGGTGTATTATGGTTGCATTCTCATTTTCTTGGTCTCATTTGATAGAATGGAAAACATATTACAGAAAGAGATGATTTTGATTAGTTTCACGATGAAAACGACCTTGAAATTGAGCTCAAAGTAGCGGAAATGTTTGATTTTTACCAATGTACAAGAGTAAGCAAATCACACCACACGTCCAATACACGTCAACTGGGGAGTAATATTCTTTCACTAGTGCACTGATATTATTTATACCATTTTTACAATAATGCAGTAGTCTGCATAAAAGTAAATTTTCTATTTTGTGTGAATAAAAAATCAAAATAGAAAGCAAGAGTAATACACGAGGGGCCTGGAGACGTGACTAATGAACAGAGGGTATGTTATTTTAGTGCCAAGAATGTCTGCATTGTTTATTCTGGACCCTATTTTGAAATTGCCATCTTTTTTAATTTGCATTAAATTCATCAAACTGCCAATTTCTGACCACTTTATTGGGTGGTTGAAATTGGTAAATAGGCAGTTTCTTGTACTCAATTGATAGAAAAAATGGAGTTCTAGAGCAATAGCTATGAGTTTGGTCGACGGGAACAATGGAATTGGCCAAAAATAGGGCTCAAAGTTGGCGAAATCACTGATGCGTACATATCGCCAAGATCGCTAACTTCGTGGGAGCACAAGTCCGTAAGTTTAAAATCAAATTTCGTACTTCTGGTGTCATTACCATCAGGAAAAGATTATCATTTCATAAGAAAAAGAGTAAGGTTATGAGGATAACAAAAAGATTAGGTGATGAAAGATTGGATATCAGATTGGAGGGAGAGAGTATGGAGGAGGTGAATGTATTCAGATATTTGGGAGTGGATGTGTCAGTGGATGGGTCTATGAAAGATGAGGTGAATCATAGAATTGATGAGGGGAAAAGGGTGAGTGGTGCACTTAGGAGTCTGTGGAGACAAAGAACTTTGTCCTTGGAGGCAAAGAGGGGAATGTATGAGAGTATAGTTTTACCAACGCTCTTATATGGGTGTGAAGCATGGGTGATGAATGTTGCAGCGAGGAGAAGGCTGGAGGCAGTGGAGATGTCATGTCTGAGAGCAATGTGTGGTGTGAATATAATGCAGAGAATTCGTAGTTTGGAAGTTAGGAGGAGGTGCGAGATTACCAAAACTGTTGTCCAGAGGGCTGAGGAAGGGTTGTTGAGGTGGTTCGGACATGTGGAGAGAATGGAGCGAAACAGAATAACTTCAAGAGTGTATCAGTCTGTAGTGGAAGGGAGGCGGGGTAGGGGTCGGCCTAGGAAAGGTTGGAGGGAGGGGGTAAAGGAAGTTCTGTGTGCGAGGGGCTTGGACTTCCAGCAGGCATGCGTGAGCGTGTTTGATAGGAGTGAATGGAGACAAATGGTTTTTAATACTTGACGTGCTGTTGGAGTGTGAGCAAAGTAACATTTATGAAGGGGTTCAGGGAAACCGGCAGGCCGGACTTGAGTCCTGGAGATGGGAAGTGCAGTGCCTGCACTCTGAAGGAGGGGTGTTAATGTTGCAGTTTAAAAACTGTAGTGTAAAGCACCCTTCTGGCAAGACAGTGATGGAGTGAATGATGGTGAAAGTTTTTCTTTTTTGGGCCACCCTGCCTTGGTGGGAATCGGCCAGAGTGATAAAAAAAAAAAAATATTTTCCAAAAATTCTTCAACACCAGGAGACACTTCAGGATTTGGGGTTGCAACAGTCAAAGGGTTAAAAATATAGCTGGGGATTGCAGGCGAACCTCCAAGAAGTGTTAGATGGAGGGTGCAATCACACTAGCCAACAAAACTTTACTTTTTATCCAACTTAGAAAAATTGGTTATTTTAGGCTAACTTTGATGCCCTGGTCACAAATCTGGGATTTAGTCCATCACAGGGTTTTTTTTAAATTTTGTGATCAATATTTTGAAGATTTAAGGATGAAGATTCATATATGTTACCTAACAATGTTAATACATGTATATTATGCACAGATAAACCATACCCCGGCTGGGATTGAACCCGAGGTCAGAGTGTCTCAAAACTCCAGCCCGTCGCGTTAGCCACTCCAGCTAACGTGACAGGATGGAGTTTTGAGACTCTCTGACCGCGGGTTCAATCCCGGCCGGGGTATGGTTTGTTTGCAATCGTGTCATTACGATTTTGTGAGTCATGCATAGATATATGTGGCACATGCAATGGTAAAAAAAAAGCTAATAATTCTTAAACTCAAAATTTATTTGTAAAACAAAAAAAAAAAATCCATGTGCACACAGTTTACATCACAGTTTAACGGGTTTTTCATTTGTGACCTGTATCTCTTTCCTGGACCAGTATCCAATAGTAATCAGCCATTAAATTAATCAAGGTTTCCTTGATCTCTCTTTGCCATGATGGTTATTTATTTATTTATTTTTTAGTTACACACTGGCCATTTCCTCACCAACGTAGGGTGGCCCGAGAAAGAAAAACTTTCACCATCATTCACTCCATCACTGTCTTGCCAGAGGCATGCTTGCCCTACAGTTATAAAACTGCAACATTAACACCCCTCCTTCAGAGATTTCACCAAAACATAACCATCATCCTCTGAAGGATGATGGGTGTCTTGGTGAAATCTTTCACCCTGGGGTTCAATTTCACAGACTAAATGTTGGAGTAAAGTTCAGATCTGAATTCAGTATCCCAAAATTAGTTAGAAATGTACATTTTTAAATGAGCCAAAATGATTGTATGCCAGTGTAATGTAGCATAAGAGATTAAGCATCCAGCATCTGTGTAATCATAGTAATATTTAAAAAAAGGATTTAGAGAAACTAGCTAAATAAGACTGAATTTTGGAGGAGGAAAAGAAGAATGAGCAAACTTTTAAAGTCAAACAGGGTTGCTGAAAAATGGTGGGTCATTCCTACAACAATATCCGTGCCTTTCAGGAAAGAAAGCAAATGGTGATTTTTTTTCTTCTTTTTCTTGCACTACCTTTGTGGGAAGTGATTATTTAAATACAGTGGTGAATTGCCCCAGAGTAAGTACGTAAAGATTTCATACTCAGGGTTTCCGTGGTTCCACTGCATTTTACACATGGCTCGAGTCAATAATATAATAATATCCATTTACTACATGTACAAGGTATACAAACCATAGCTGACATCAATGACATTCTACTACATATATAGAAAGCCGTTTGTTATGCTGAGCATTCTGGGCAAATTAGGTCAGTTTTGTCCCAGGATGCAACCCACACCAGTCAACTAACACCCAAGTACCCATTTTACTGATGGTGAACATAGACAACCAGTGTAAGGAAACACTTCTAATGTTCCCACTCCTTCGCTGGGAATGTAACCTGGACCCTCACCATGTGAAGCGAGAGCGTTTGCCACCAGGCCACAGGGCACTGTGGGTACATACGAACATTAAGAAGGAACACTGCAGCAGGCCTATTGGCCCATACAAGGCAGGTCCAAGTCACCTACCAGCCTGAGCCACTAACCCAAGCTAGCCAGGTCCAGATCATATCCACTTAACCCTTTGAGGGTTTTCGTCGTACTAGTACGTTTTACGCGTAGGGGTTTTTGACGTACTAGTACTCATAAATTCTAGCGGCCTCAAATCTAGTGGGAGAAAGCTGGTAGGCCTTCATATGAAAGAATGGGTCTATGTGGTCAGTGTGCACAGTCTAAAAAAAATCCTGCAGCACACAGTGCATAATGAGAAAAAAAAAACTTTGACCATTTTTTTTTAATAAATCAGCGACTTTGCAGTGTATTTTCGTATGGTATTTATTGTTGTATTCTAGTTTTCTTGGTCTCATTTTATAGAATGGAAGACATATTACAGAAATTGAGATGATTTTGACTGGTTTTACAAAGAAAGGTGCCTTGAAATTGAGCTCAAATTAGCAGAAATGTTCGATTTTTACCAAACTTCAAAAGTAAACAAATCGTGCCAAGCGTGCAATACAAGTCAACTGGTGAGTCTAATATTCTTTCACGAGTGCACCAATAATATTTATACCATTTTTTACACTAATGCAGTAGTCTGCATAACAGTAAATCTTATATTTTTTGTGAAAATAAAAATTCAAAGTGGAAAGCAAAAGAATATAAGAGGGGACTTGAGACATGACTAATGACTAGAGGAAATGTCATTTTAGTGCCAGGAATGTCTTGTTTATTCTGGACCCTATTCCGAAATTGGCATCTTTTGAAATTTGTGTGAAATTGGCAAAATTGCTAAATTCTGACCACTGTACTGGATAGTTGAATTTCATAAATGAGTGGTTTCTTGCATCCATTCGATAGAAAAAAATGGAGTTCTAGCGAAATATTCATGTTTTTTGTCGACTAGTACAGTGAAATTGGCCGAAAATGGGGCTCAAAGTGGGCAAAATCGCCGATGCGTAAACATCGCCGAGACCGCTAACTTTGCGAGAGCATAATTCCGTAAGTTTTCTATCAAATTTCAAACTTTTGGTGTCTTTATGATCGGGAAAAGATTCTCTATCTTTTCATAAGAGAAAATAATTTTTTTTTTTTTTTTAAATTTGGCCGACCCTGAGAACGAGTTTCGGAGAGGGCCTGTCGACCCTCAAAGGGTTAAGGCAGAAGCACTGCATCAGACCCATTAGCACAAGGTAGCTAGGTCGAACTCTCACGCACACCCACTCATGTATATCTTATTTTTAAAACTACACAATGTTTTAGCTTCAATGACTGGAGCTTGTTCCACTCATCCACAACTATTACCAAATCAGTGCTTCCCTATATTTTTCCTGAAGCTAAAAAAAAAAAAAAAAAAAAAAATTAAAATAAAATAAAATAAATAATTTTTTTTTTTTTCAGTAACCATATCTAATACAAACTGTTTTCTTGGATTGAAAACACTAAAATGCAGAACCCACAAAATAAATCATTGCAAAGATACAAGATAACAGAGGTTATATTTACCACCACTGTAGCTGGAGGTGCAGCATCAATAACATCTGGAACCACCTTCTGTTCATCCATAATGCAACTGAAAAAGCTGAATAATTAATGTTCAATTTAAAAAAGATGTTTCAGAATGCCATTCATATGTTGCTAGTACATTACACACCCAAAAAATGCTTTACATAATAAAAAAAAATCAAATCCAGGATAGTAGTGGTTAACTTCCCAAGTGGTTACTCACCCAACCTTTTTTTTTTTAACAAAAAAAAAAAAAGTGGGGGGGGGGGGAGGTTGTTACATATGGAAATGGCAAACTACCAAACCTAACGAAACCCAAGATAACAGATTCCACTACGGGCGTTTGTTTACGTCCGCTGCGTCTTTGTTTATGTTGCCGAGTTTTCTTTTTTTTTTTAGCGATCTTGAAAAAAAAAATCCAAAATAATCGTTTATTCCGTGAATGGGAAATGACGCATATCTACCGATGACAGTAGTTATGTTACATTAGTTTTTTTTTTTTAATTTGCACAATATTCAGTACTCTCAACTGTAAAACTTATTACCCAATTTAAACTGTAATGGCTGAAATCCGCCAAGGAGCAATCGTTTATTAATCACCCTGATTTCTGCTAGTATTATTATTATAATCAAGGGGGAAGCGCTAAACCCGGAGGATTATACAGCGCCTGAGGGGGGGGATGTGGAAGGCATTCAGGCTTAATTCGGGGAACTGGAGCACAGATCCAATTCCCTAAATCAAGAGCCCCTCACCAACATCAAGGAACCTTCCTTGAGGGGCACTTCTCGGAAAACTTGTCCACTATGACCCCTCAAGAGCTGCCTCAAAACTAGCGATGGGCTCTTGATCCCAAGAATTAGACCCATCTTCGTCTCTGAACTAACCTGACTGCCTCCCAGTTCCCCAGACCATTAACCCTTATGGGTTTAACTCTTCTTCACAATAATAATATTCTACACAGCCAGAACGCTATTCCCACAGAAACTTTTGTTTCTTAACTATTGTGATCCTGACGGTATTCCTGTGACACTGTCAATACTATGTCCTCTTCAGTACTCAATGTTTCGTAAGCAAAATTTTTAATTTGTAGGATACTCGAGGTGAAGCTTCCAGAAGGCGAGAGAAGCAGCAGAAATGCACAGTGTTAACGTGACAGCAGCTGGAGCAGCACTGACACAGCACCACCACCAAGGTTCATATATCTCAGATGAAAAGTAGCGCAAGTAGCACCAAAGTAGCACAACTGCTGAATAATAATAATAATAATAATAATAATAATAATAATAATAATAATAATAATAATAATAATATCTTTATTTACTACAAGTACATGTACAAGGTATACAGACCATAGCTGACATCAGTGACATACTACTATATAGAAAGCCGCTTGTTATGCTGAAAATTTCGGGCAAATTAGGTCAGTTTTGTCCCAGGATGCGACCCACACCAGTCCACTAACACCCAGGTACCTAATTTACTGATGATTGAACACAGACAACCAGTGTAAGGAAAAACCTCCAGTGTTTCTACCCTCTCTAGGAATCGAACCTAGACCCTCGCTGTGTGAAGCGAGAGTTTCAGCCACCAGGCCACAGGGCACAGTAAATAAGTAAATAATTTACACATACGTTAAACTATGTATGATAATTGTACTGATGTGTACCTGTACCTAAATAAATTTATTTACTTACTAGTGTTCTGATTCTCTTTGCATAGTGAGACAATTGACAGGTGTAATGTTTGTCAGGAAACAGGACAAGTGTTTCCTGATGCGGGTCTTAGTTATATGATGACCCACAGCTGGAGCTTTTGGTCATCTGACCGAGGCCTTCCACTGGCTTACCACTCCGCCCCTTTCAAATTATAATTGATTATAACCATTTAGAGTGTTATCAAATGAGACGTTTAGTGACATATATACAAAGTTTTTTCTTCTATCTTGAAGCCTTCTTTAAACATATAAGTTTTCGAGTATATTTTCTTCCTCATCGGCCACGGGGGCCAAGGGGGCGTTGACCCCCAGAACTATCTCCAGGTATACTGAAGAATCATGGATATGGACATATTTGGTTCAAAATGGCTGTTAAGAGCTGTAGACCCAGACTATTTATAAATTTACTTTCCGTTAAAGTAACTCTTGAAAAGAGTTACTTTCAATACAGAATCTGCCAAGACTTTCACATGATATCTAAACTACTATTTTTACGGTTTTTGTCCAAAATGATGAAGCGGCTATTGTTATCTTGCCTTCAAAATTATGTTTTATCTTAATCAGTATTTAGGACACGATGCCACTGACTTAATTCCAGTTATTGTAAAATGATCCCATAGATAAGAATTAAGCTATATAGTAAAAAAAATAGTCTTAAGTTTTGCTCAAAATAGTGTGCATCCCATGGGCTGACTATTATATATTTTATGTATACAGTAATTTGAGATAAAAGATATCTCAGTCTCTCAAATCTAATAGAAGATAATTAGAGAATACAGTTAGTGTGGTATAAGTTATAATGTTAACTTAGGAGTATATCTGCTCAGTAAGTTTATTTTGGTACAGGTACACATAAGTACAGTTATATATAGTAATATATGTGTAAATTACCTAGTATGTATAACCCAAATGATTTATTTCCATTGGGATCCTTGTTCGTGTATTCATGCGCTAATATCAGAGGGCAAAAGTAGCGCAATTATTTCAAAAGTAGCCCAAATGTGTTTTCAATTAATCCAAAATGTCGCAAGTAGCACATGACAATATGTAGCAACGAAGGACCAACCAACCAGGCCAGGAGCTGTGACGCGAGGCCAGGAGCTGTGAATCGACCCCTGCTACCACAACTAGGTGAGTACAGTAGCCTAATTCGCTACTTGTAGCTCAGACTGGCAACACTGATACACTAGGTCTCAGCACCTAGCAACCAAACCTTAAGTAAGTAAGTAAGTAAATTTATTCAGGTATACACAATACAGTTACATAGAATTATCATACATAGCAGCATATGTGTAGAGAACCTAGGATAACCCAAAAAAGTCAGACAGAGTGACTTATTTCCATTGGGGTCCTTTTACCTTATTATTATAATATAAAGGTTATAATATTTTCTTATTATTCTACAATGAAGATAACATCTTATTATCATACTAAAAAGACTATCTACTACGCGAGGGTCATTAAGACTATCTACAATACGAGGGTCATTACTAGGGATAAGGTAAAATTTACACGTATTTTAGCTAAAAAATAGAAAATCATTCCCCTCCCTTTCTGTTGCTTCATTCATCAGACACTTTTTGGCAGTCTTCTTGAACTGGTTCAAGCTATGACTGGCCTTGACATTTGTGGGTAGTCTGTTCCATTCCTTTATTGCTGTACATAACACATGTAAAATTAGGAGACATTAATGTCATACATAAGCCTTTGGTCATGCAGACCATTTTGAACCGACAAAAAATGGAGCTTAAAAATTTTTGACTGTCCGAGATACCACTTAGTCTAGGAGTAAAACTAATAAACACAGACAATATATAAATATAATATATATATATATATATATATATATATATATATATATATATATATATATATATATATATATATATATATTATATATATATATATAATATATATATAGTGTGTACTCACCTATTTGTACTCACCTATTTGTGGTTGCAGGGGTCGAGTCACAGCTCCTGGCCCCGCCTCTTCGCTGATTGCTACTAGGTCCTCTCTCTCCCTGCCCCATGAGCTCTATCATACCTCGCCTTAAAACTATGTATGGTTCCTGCCTCCACCACATCACTTTCTAGGCTATTCCATGGCCTGACTACTCTATGACTGAAGAAATACTTCCTAACATCCCTTTCATTCATCTGAGTCTTCAACTTCCAATTGTGACCTCTTGTGTCTGTGTCCCATCTCTGGAACATCCCGTCTTTGTCCACCTCGTCTATTCCGCGCAGTATTTTATATGTCGTTATCATGTCTCCCCTGACCCTCCTGGCCTCCAGTGTCGTCAGGCCGATTTCCCTCAACCTTTCTTCATAGGACAATCCCCGTAGCTCTGGGACTAGTCTTGTTGCAAACCTTTGCACTTTCTCTAATTTCTTGACGTGCTTGACTAGGTGTGGATTCCAAACTGGTGCTGCATACTCCAGTATGGGCCTGACGTAGATGGTATACAGAGTCTTAAACGAATCCTTACTGAGGTATCGGAACGCTATCCGTAGGTTTGCCAGGCGCCCGTATGCTGCAGCAGTTATCTGATTGATGTGCGCCTCAGGAGATATGCTCGGTGTTATACTCACCCCCAGATCTTTTTCCTTGAGTGAGGTTTGCAGTCTTTGGCCATCTAAACCATATTGTGTCTGCGGTCTTCTTTGCCCTTCCCCAATCTTCATGACTTTGCATTTGGCAGGGTTAAATTCAAGGAGCCAGTTGCTGGACCAGGCTTGTAGCCTGTCCAGGTCTCTTTGTAGTCCTGCCTGATCCTCGTCCGATTCGATTCTTCTCATTAACTTCACATCATCTGCAAACAAGGACACTTCTGAGTCTATCCCTTCCGTTATGTCGTTCACGTATACCAAGAACAGCACAGGTCCTAGGACTGACCCCTGTGGAACACCGCTTGTCACAGGCGCCCACTCTGACACCTCGTCGCGTACCATGACTCGTTGTTGCCTCCCTGTCAGATATTCTCTGACCCATTGCAGTGCCTTTCCTGTTATGTGTGCCTGGTCCTCTAGCTTTTGCAGTAACCTCTTGTGAGGAACTGTGTCGAAGGCCTTCTTGCAGTCCAAAAATACGCAGTCGATCCACCCCTCTCTCTCTTGTCTTACTTCTGTCACCTTGTCATAAAACTCTCGTAGGTTTGTGACACAGGATTTTCCTTCCCTGAAACCGTGCTGGTTGTCAATTATACACTTGTTTCTTTCCAGGTGCCCCACCACTCTCCTCCTGATGATCTTCTCCATGACCTTGCATACTATACACGTTAGTGATACAGGTCTGTAGTTTAGTGCCTCATGTCTGTCTCCCTTTTTAAAAATTGGGACTACATTTGCCATTTTCCATACCTCAGGGAGTTGCCCAGTTTCAAATGATGTGTTGGAGATCTTTGTTAATGGCTCACACAATATCTCTGCTCCCTCTTTAAGGACCCATGGAGAGATGTTGTCTGGTCCCACCGCCTTTGAGGTGTCAAGTTCGCATAGCAGCTTCTTCACCTCCTCCTTGGTTATATGTACCTCATCCAGCACTTGCTGGTGTGCCCCCCTGTTCTGATTTCTTGGAGTCCTACTGGTTTCCACTGTAAATACCTCTTTAAATCTTGTATTGAGCTCCTGACATACCTCTCGGTCGTTTCTTGTGAATTCCCCATCACCCTTCCTCAGTCTGATTACCTGGTCCTTGACTGTTGTTTTCCTCCTGATGTGGCTGTACAACAGCTTCGGGTCAGTCTTTACTTTTGATGCTATGTCATTTTCATATTGTCTCTGAGCCTCCCTTCTTATCTGTGCATATTCGTTTCTGGCTCTTCGGCTGATTTCTTTATTTTCCTGAGTTCTCTGTCTTCTGTACCTTTTCCATTCTCTAGTACACCTAGTTTTTGCCTCCCTACACCTTTGGGTGAACCAAGGACTCGTTCTGTTCTTCCCATTATTTCTGTTTCCCTTGGGAACAAACCTCTCCTCTGCCTCCTTGCATTTTGTTGCTACATAGTCCATCATTTCTTGTACTGGTTTTCCTGTCAGTTCCCTCTCCCACTGAATGTCTTGAAGGAAGTTCCTCATGCCTGAGTAGTTCCCCCTTTTGTAGTTTGGTTTTTCCCAGCCTATTCCTGCTACTCTCTCCACTTGGAGCTCAACTATGTAGTCGAAGCACAGAACCACATGATCACTAGCTCCCAGGGACCTTTCATACACGATACCCTCGATGTCCGAACTACTCATGGTGAATACAAGGTCCAACCTTGCTGGTTCATCCTCTCCTCTCTCTCTGGTAGTGTCTCTAACATGTTGATGCATGAGGTTCTCCAGTACCACATCCATCATCTTGGTTCTCCATGTTTCGGGACCCCCATGGGGCTCCAGGTTTTCCCAGTCAATCTCCTTGTGATTGAAATCACCCATAATTAGTAACTTTGCTCCCCCCATGTGTGCTCTCCTGGCCACCTCGGCTAGTGTGTCGATCATTGCTCTGTTGCTCTCATCGTATTCTTCTCTTGGCCTCCTGCAGTTCTGTGGTGGGTTGTACATTACTGCAATTATCACCTTATGTCCCTCAGACTGGATTGTTCCTACTAAGTAGTCCCTTTCGCCCATGCCATCTATTCCTTCCATTTTCTCAAAACCCCACTGGTTTTTAATGAGCAGTGCAACTCCTCCTCCCCCTCTCCTCCCTCTGTCTTTCCTGAGGATTTGATATCCGGATGGAAAGATTGAATCTGTTATTATTCTGGTGAGTTTTGTTTCTGTGAGTGCTATTATGTCTGGGGATGTCTCTTTGATTCTTTCGTGCCACTCCTCATACTTGTTTGTTATTCCATCTGCATTTGTATACCACACCTTCAACTTCTTTTCTAAGAATGTGGTCTGGGAAGTATATTGGGGTTGGGGAAGTGGGAGACCTGGTAAGGAACTATGGGTTGTTGCTGTGGGGGTGAAGTTTGTAATGTAGTGGGTGGGGGCATTGGATGTGGCATGGGTGTTTTGATTTAGAGTGTTTGGTTGCACTGGGGTTGACCTGGTTGGAAGGCTTCTATAGAAAGTTGTGAGGGAGGCTGTATTTGATCTTCTTCCTGGGTCTGGGATCTCCTGTCTGTCTTCTCCATCCCCTCTCTTTCCTCCTTTCGCCTTTGTACCATCTCTCTCAGTTTCTTCCTTTCTTCTTGTGTTCTGTCGCGGTCGAGATACACCTTCCTGTATGCCGTCATGTCCCTTAATCGTGCTTTCTCCTGCAAGATCCTGGTCCGAATCGCTTCTGCCTTGAAGGTCACTCTCACTGGCCGGGTTCTTTTTTTTACAAACCCCCCTATTCTCCGAAAATTTTCCAGCTGGGTCATATCGTCTTCTCCTATTGCTTTCATGATGCTTTCAATTGCTTTTTTTTCCCCTTGTTTTCTTGCTTCATATGTTTCCCCTTCGACTTCCTGGAGCCCATACACAAAGACTGACCTCACCCTTTCATTCTCCCACTGCATATCCCTGTGTATCCCCTCATTTAATTTGGTTTCCTCCACTGCAGCTTTCCTTTCATCAGTTTCACTGGCTAATGTACTTGGGCTCAGTGGCCTGTCATTTTCCCTTCTCGGCTTTCCTTGGGCTCTGTTGTTGTCTGTTAGGGCCTCCACATAAAGCTTAGCTCTTTCATTTGGTTACAGGGGTTGAGTCATAGCTCCTGGCCCCGCCTCTCAAACAGCCTATGGTTGTCTAAAGTATTAGCTCACTGTGTTAAAACCTAGACACTCTATAACAGTGATTCTTTATTGTGTGTTGAGCTGGATGGAAGTAGTTGCACTGTGAATTTTCTTTAGTTATACGAAGAGATTCAAAGATCTTAAAGGTTGCAGCCTGTAAGACAGTAGATGTTTCTATGTGGTTATCCTGTGTCTCCAGGTTCTTCTGTTTTGCAGTGTTGCTAGGTTTAATTCCATTAGCCTCTCCTTGTAGCTTATACCCCGTAGTTCTGGAACTAGCTTCGCTGCATACCTCTGCATTTTCTCCAGTTTCTTAACATGCTTTCCCAGCTGTGGGTTCCATGTCAGTGCTGGATCCACCAAGATAGGCCTATTTTGTATAAAGAACCTCTGTATAAAGAGCCTCTGGCGATATGTTGGACACTCTTAAGTCTTTCTCATTGAGGTCTGTAGCCTCTGTCCTACGAGCCTATACTCCTTGTCCGGTCTTCCACCTTCCACAATCTTCTTAACCTTACTGGGGTTGAATGCCAGCAACCACTTATCTGACCTGTCCTGTAATTTGTCCAAGTCCATTTACAGGTTTTCCACGTCTTCATCAGTTCTACTTTGTTAGTAAGCGGGGATGTGTATGACTCATTCCCATCTGGTATATCATTTACATAAACCAGAAACAGTACTGATCCTAATACCATTCCTTGCGGTGTATATACACACCTCGGCGTATATACACGGAGACACCTCGGAGTATATTCACCGAGAGAAACACATCGTTGTATATACTCAGATAAGGAGAGAGTCGCCTCTGGGTGTATAACTGCATATACATTAAGATACACACACGCTCCTGCCCTCTCCTCACCCCTGCCCTCTTCTTGCCCCTGCTCTCTTCTCACCCCTGCCCTCTTGTTGCCCCTGCTCTCCTCACCCCTGCCCTAACCTCTCCAACATCTCCTCTTATCCCGGAATCACAGGATATATGTATGTCTGTCGGTGTATATAAGCTCCTGAGAGACTAATCCTCATTGCAGTGATTCAAGTGGTTTAGACTGGTGGTGAAAATGTGTCGAGCAGCCTTAATGACCCTCCTGGAGTCCACAGGCTTTAAACCCCATTAACCAAAGAACTCGGGGTAGAACACACAACCTTTGAACCTGAAGCCGAAGATGTGTAAATAAGCGTTCTCTGAGAATTAACATATTTGAGTTTATCAATACTACAACTCGGTAACGCCGTAATCAGATTGGCGGGGGAAAATTAAGAGACAATGTAGATGAAAATAACTTTACTGATGAACTTGTGCCTCGTGCTCTGACATGATGGAAGCTGCAATATTTATGCTTGAAGTAAATATAACATGAATCAACGATGCATCGTAATCAACCTGCAGCATTATAGTGCAACTGTAATCATCAGCATAAAAAATAGTACAAAGAGAATATTTGTGAACATTTGTTGGGTAATGGAGGAAAGACAGGTGTAGAACAAGATCTACAGGTGTAGAACAAAGCTCTACAGGTGTAGAACAAAGCTCTACAGGTGTAGAACAAAGCTCTACATGTGTAGAACAAAGCTCTACAGGTGTAGAACAAAGCTCTACATGTGTAGAACAAAGCTCTACAGGTGTAGAACAAAGCTCTACAGGTGTAGAACAAAGCTCTACAGGTGTAGAACAAAGTTCTGCAGATGTAGAACAAAGTTCTGCAGATGTAGAACAAAGCTCTACAGGTGTAGAACAAAGCTCTACAGGTGTAGAACAAAGCTCTACAGGTGTCAGTGAGACGTCAATTGTCTTATCATTGATTTAATATTCATTATCATTGACTTATTAGATTTAATATTCAGTATCATTGACTTATTAGATTTAATATTCATTATCATTGATTTATCACTGATTTAACATTCATTATCATTGACTTATCACTGATTTAACATTATCACTGACTTATCACTGGCTGAACATTGTATCAGTGACTTGATAAAGTTCAACAGAGAGTGAAGGTGGTCCTGGTAGAGGTGTGTTCTCTACTCTTCTCTTTCCTTCATTAACCTGCTGCTCCCAACATAACATTTATATCCATTTTGCTGAGTAATATATAAAGTTTTTTCTTTTTTTTTCCACATGCAGCAACATTCGTAACAAACACAAATTATCATAAAAGTTAGTCACAAAATTCACCTTTGAGAAGCCCTTCTTGTTCTCTCTTATTTTCTTGCATTAAAAGCTTTTTTTTTTTTTACAAATATAATTTTTAAATAATGTTACGTTTAAATTTAATAATAATGTACACAAATGATCATTGCGACGGAATATGGAAGCAGGTGTGAAATAGGGACCTGGACAGAGCGCCGTAAGTGTAAAAAGAAAAAATGAATTTTGAAAAAAAGGGTAATAATCCGATGGAATGCTGTGTCATGAGGTGGGATGAACATGCCAACATGGCGACTCGTATTGATATCACTTTTATGGTAATTAACAGCAGATGCAGTTATTCAAACGCCTTGTTTGCTTAGGTACACAGCTAGGGGGCCACATGAACACTGATGGTGCTCCAGGTTGGCACTCTACCACCTATTTGAGCAGTTTACACTCTACATTAGTCCAACTCAAGAGTAGCCATGATGATACATGAATAACACTCAAAATTATCCAATTTACGTAAGTAGATTTAATAATTATTCTGCATATTATTTAATATGTTTTGCTAATACAATCTGTAATACAAGTGATTTATATTGTTACATAAAAATTATTATTTATCATTATTCTGGCACATTTTTTTAAAGCTGATTATAATATATACAAATAATAAAACTATCTTAATATATGGTGGACAAGTGTCTTAAGAATTGTGTCCCACTCAGAGTATTGAAATAAATAAGTCTTAATTTTCTGTTGCTTTATATACATTATAACATGCATGAATGTTAATGCTGATATATTCTTATGTGTATAAATTAATCCATGCTCAGGACCAGGCTGACTTATTACATATAAACTGAAATATTTTCTGTATGATCTAATAATATTTAAATTGTGTAACCTTTCTAAAACATTTTCTTATATATATATATATATATATATATATATATATATATATATATATATATATATATATATATATATATATATATATTATATATATATATATATATATATGTGTGTGTGTGTGTGTGTGTGTGTGTGTGTAATAATAATGGCAAATGTCTATCATTAAACCAAAATATACGGGGTTGATCAAGGAGGGGAAAAATTCCGTGATCTAGGTTATGTGTCAGTTAAAAATCAAGCCAGTGCATCGCAAAAATTTTTAAAGCAGTCACAGATAAAAACAAATATTGTGGTCCAGTTAGAGAAGCCCGTTGCAACATACATACAAACGGTTAACAACAGATTTCAGATATGAATCAAAATACTGTTATTAGGTATAACAGTGTAGTTGGGTGAGAAGCCAGGTGCTGACGAAGCAAGACATGTCTGTAATGTGACACCACATCAAGAAATATGTGAACGTATTTTGTATTCATATCCTGAAATGTACTGTATTACAAACCCTTAATATAAAGGGGCTGAGTGAATGACTAACTTAGAGACTGAACTTTATAAATACGATGTTATATTTGAAAGAAACTTGTGTTTAGGAACAAACCAATGCGTATAATATATATATATATATATATATATATATATATATATATATATATATATATAAATATATATTATAATATATATATATATATATATATATTCATGAATGATCATGAGATGTACTTGAGTATTATCTTAATACCAGTTGAGCTGAGGTGCACAGTGACCATGTGGTTAGTAAGCCTCAAAACTTCAGATAATCAATAGCAGTTATCTAAACATTTACTCACTGTAAAGTATTCTCTTAAAGATTACAACAAAACATTTTAATATGAGCTGTTGCACAGTATTAGGTATTTCTAAGTAAATGATCAGTTTGGTGTGATACCTTGTGTGATGGGTGAGTTGTGAGAGGCTGGCTGGGACACTGTTGACCTGGCGGGGTGCTCACTCATACTGGGTCATACAAAACCAGGGTTCGAAATAGCTTACAAGATCGAGCCCAATGTAAACACCTTTGATATTCATTCATGCATATGAAGTAAATTATAATATTCCATGGTGTATGCAATAATAAAACAGAAAAAGATAATATTTATATGATCTAAATTCTTCAAAAATGCTGGAGTATGGTGATCTCATCTATCTGAAGAACATATATAATGTAGTGTTAGGGAGGCCATATTTCAATGGCTAGTATTGTAAACATCAAGTATACTTCAAGTTGTATAAATTATCATTAGCACCTTTTTTCTGTCTTAATATTAGAACACTGTGGTGGAATATCTATTGAAGTTGGCATCAATTACATAAAACTCTTATACACACTATTTTGACACAAGATGTTTTTTTCCCCTCGTCAGAACGCACTATTGGTTTCATATATTATTTAAAGATAACTCATTAATTGGGACTCGTAGCAAAAATTTAATAGATGACTGCAATTTCTTTAGACTGACTCCAAACAGGAAATGAAGTCTCATGATAAACAAATGCTGAATCTTCTAATTTGTTGACTTTCAGTTGACATGGTGTTTTTTTTCTTTAACAGGTGGAACCGTTCAGTGGTAGGAGACAGGAGGAAGGTGGAGGCAGCCAGGTCAGGGTTACTGGTCACGGAGTTTGCCCAGGTATTGTGAGTGCTTGATGCCAAAGCTGAATTGCGGGGTAGTGGCGGTCTCCGACTGAGAAAAAAAAAAGGATTGGAATTAAATACGGAATAAGGATAGTCACAAGCAAGTTGATTGATTAAATATATGCTCTTTCTAAAATTGCATTTGTGTAAACAATTTCTTTCTTTTAAATATATTGTAAAGTTATTAAAAAATGGCGAACAAGCGATACAAGATACAAAACAACCACGGCGAGAGTTGGATGATAGTTCTAGGCCTTTCGTATTGCAATCAACACGTCAGGAGCTTGCAATGTTGCAGAAAAGAGGAGGAAGTCCAAGCAAATACGACCAAAGTTAGTTTAATATGTTTATTATGCACCCCATACCCATCCTGTGGGCGGTAGTCAAAAGATTACAGAGGTACATAATGGGTCCAGTGACTGGACCGCAGTTATGATAGCTGAACTAGTTACAAAGGTAATGAACGATCAAAGGAAGCTTCTTTGCTGGAATGAACAAAGACGCTTCCGTTGATCGTATTTGTTTGGATCTCCTCTTTTATTCAACACTGCAAGCTCCTCATGATGTATTGATTGCAACATGAAAGGCCTAGAACAATCATTCAACTCCCTCCGTGGTTACTTTGCATAGTGTATGGCGTACAGGTACGAACTCTCAACCTCGGCTTCCTGCTGCGAGGGATGTCTGTATTCAAATGTCAGTCAGAAATTTTAAGACGCACATATCTTAAAGCACATACTCTCACATTTCAGACTCTCACATCTCGGACCCTCACATCTCAGACCCACACATCTCGGACCCTCACATCTCGGACCCTCACATCTCGGACCCTCACATCTCGGACCCTCACATCTCGGACCCTCACATCTCGGACCCTCACATCTCGGACCCTCACATCTCGGACCCTCACATCTCGGACCCTCACATCTCGGACCCTCACATCTCGGACCCTCACATCTCGGACCCTCACATCTCGGACCCTCACATCTCGGACCCTCACATCTCGGACCCTCACATCTCGGACCCTCACATCTCGGACCCTCACATCTCGGACCCTCACATCTCGGACCCTCACATCTCGGACCCTCACATCTCAGACCCTCACATCTCAGACCCTCACATCTCAGACCCTCACATCTCAGACCCTCACATCTCAGACCCTCACATCTCAGACCCTCACATTCACCCCACATCTCAGACCCTCACATCTCAGACCCTCACATCTCAGACCCTCACATCTCAGACCCTCACATCTCAGACCCTCACATCTCAGACTCTCACATCTCAGACTCTCACATCTCAGACTCTCACATCTCAGACTCTCACATCTCAGACTCTCACATCTCAGACTCTCACATCCCAGACTCTCACATCCCAGACTCTCACATCCCAGACTCTCACATCTCAGACTCTCACATCTCAGACTCTCACATCTCAGACTCTCACATTTCAGACTCACACATCTCAGACTCTCACATCTCAGACCCTCACATCTCAGACTCTCACATCTCAGACTCTCACATCTCAGACTCTCACATCTCAGACTCTCACATCTCAGACTCTCACATCTCAGACCCTCACATCTCAGACCCTCACATCTCAGACCCTCACATCTCAGACTCTCACATCTCAGACTCTCACATCTCAGACTCTCACATCTCAGACTCTCACATCTCAGACTCTCACATCTCAGACTCTCACATCTCAGACTCTCACATCTCAGACCCTCACATCTCAGACCCTCACATCTCAGACCCTCACATCTCAGACTCTCACATCTCAGACTCTCACATTAGGTATGGATTTTCAGCAATGTTCAGAGCCACACACCTCTCGCAACCTGTAGCCGGATTTAACACAGTGGATCTGTAGTGCACATTAAAACTACTGTTGTTACTGATGAGCTTGTAACAATATATCATGTTACCACATATATTGTACAGTGCTATTATTACGTTATTTTACAAAATTCTGATTGAATAATTGTTTGTCAACTAATCTGTTAGTTAATTAGTTTTACTGACAAATTATTTTACATCTTGTTTTGTTTCAAAACAGCGTTCATATAATATATATATATATATATATATATATATATATATATATATATATATATATAAGTTTGGAAATGGGTGTTTTGGCATGGTTATCAATAATTGATCACCTGCCTTGCAACCTTAAAAGCCACACTTCCCACCGCCACCTACCGACTCTGACTTTTCTGGTGAATAAGCATTGGGTGCTGGTTTTTGAGTACGGTCTGTCGGTAAGGTGGTTTTGGGTGCCATAGTAAATGCTGGTAAACTGACCCTACTCTTGTCCAGGTCGCCAGCTTCATAGGTGCCTGGGCCGGGCACATTCATCTTGTCTGTCTCTTCAGGAGCCCGGGGCGCCATGGTGAATCTGGGTCCCGATGGCACATACTGAACCATAGGGAATTATGCTTAAAACTGCCTGCATGCCTAGCCTATTCATTTAGGATAAATCTCGACTATGTAAGTAAATTAGATCAGCAATGCTAAACAAGTGCAAGCTAGTTAACATATTAAAAGCAAGTTAATTAAGTAGTCTGCTAAGCTTAGTAATATAACTTATTAAGCATAAGTGATGTAATTTTTTTGAAAATAAATCTAAAAAGCAGGCAATGCATTAAAACAAAGAGGCTACATGAAAACTATAAAAATCAAGGTGCTCCATCCTTGTTTGTAAATTTTACATAGTTGTAAAAGTATCAGTACTTTTCAGAAATATACGACAATGAAAGAAAAATTATTTTTGAATATTCAAGAATTTAGGCGATGCTACTAAACAGCTTTCATTCATTCTTAACTTACGTCACACGTGTGACCTAGTGTTATGGTAATATTTACCCTTGTGTTATCATTGTGGTGATCCTAACCCCCCTTATTATTGTGATCACTGTGGTGTTATTACACGTCACTGTTGTGTGATCTCTGTCGTGGTTCTTCCCCTACTGTTGTGTCATCATTGTTGTGGTCCTCTCGTACTGTTATGTCATCATTGTTGTGGTCCTCTCGTACTGTTATGTGATCATTGTTGTGGTTCTACTCCTTACTGTCATGTGATCATTGTTGTGGTTCTACTCCCTTACTGTTATGTGATCATTGCTGTGGTTCTACTCCCCTACTGTCATGTGATCATTGTTGTGGTTCTACTCCCTTACTGTTATGTGATCATTGCTGTGGTTCTACTCCCTTACTGTTATGTGATCATTGTTTTGGTTCTACTCCCCTACTGTCATGTGATCATTGTTGTGGTTCTACTCCCTTACTGTCATGTGATCATTGTTGTGGTTCTACTCCCTTACTGTTATGTGATCATTGTTGTGGTTCTACTCCCCTACTGTTATGTGATCATTGTTGTGGTTCTACTCCCCTACTGTTATGTGATCATTGTTGTGGTTCTACTCCCCTACTGTTATCTGATCATTGTGGTTTTACTCCCTTACTGTTATGTGATCATTGTGTTGTTCTACTCCCCTGTTATGTGATCATTGTTGTGGTTCTACTCCCCTACTGTTATGTGATCATTGTTGTGGTTCTACTCCCCTACTGTTATGTGGTCATTGTTGTGGTTCTACTCCCCTACTGTTATGTGATCATTGTTGTGGTTCTAGTCCCCTACTGTTATGTGATCATTGTTGTGGTTCTACTCCCCTACTGTTATGTGATCATTGTTGTGGTTCTACTCCCCTATTGTTATGTGATCATTGTTGTGGTTCTACTCCCCTACTGTTATGTGATCATTGTTGTGGTTCTACTCCCCTACTGTTATGTGATCATTGTGGTTTTACTCCCTTACTGTTATGTGATCATTGTTCTACTCCCCTACTGTTATGTGATCATTGTTGTGATTTTACTCCCCTACTGTTATGTGATCATTGTTGTGGTTCTACTCCCCTACTGTTATGTGATCATTGTTGTGGTTCTACTCCCCTACTGTTATGTGATCATTGTTGTGGTTCTACTCCCCTACTGTTATGTGATCATTGTTGTGGTTCTACTCCCCTACTGTTATGTGATCATTGTGGTTTTACTCCCTTACTGTTATGTGATCATTGTTGTGGTTCTACTCCCCTACTGTTATGTGATCCCTATCTTGGTCCTAACCCCTAACACCCACTGTGGTGTTATCACTAACAGTTCTTGCCCCTGCTGTTCGACTCTTAAAGTTTGGTTGGTTTACTGTGCTTAAAAGCCTATTGACTTCACGAGGGTTATAAAAGCTGCATTATAGCCTGTACAGCACTACGGTTTAGAGTACATAATTCCTGAAATAGGGATTCAAAGTAAACACACAGCATATGTATGTAGCCAGATATACACATCCCTAGAATCCTCTCCTTTCTCACTCCCCACTCCTATTTAAAATTTTGAAATTACAGGAGAGCTACGCCCAATATATTAAACTATTTGCAAAATATTTCGTATTATTCACACACATATTATATATATATATTATATATATATTATATATATATATATATATATATATATATATATATATATATATATATATATATATGCAACAAGATCACAGTAAACAGGTGATTTCAGAATATGCAAAACAACCACTCTGAAAGAATAGAGAAATTCCAAGCGCTTTCGTGACTACTCACATTATCAAGGAACTATGAAAGTAAAGCATCCAAGGAAGCTATATAAGGGGTCTGGCCAGCACCTCACTATCAGATCCCACAACGGTTAAACACCTGACGCGCGCCGGCCCAACTGGATAGGTCCTTTGCACAACTCACCCACAAACTATTCTACCCAAGAAAATTTAAAAATTATTATTTGTCCAGTGTATTATTAAATTCTTCCCAAATTCTATTAATTATAAATGGATCTAATTTATATAAACCAAAGGAAATATTCATATTATTGTCAAAACTGCTTTTTATGAAACAAGATTCAATTATATTCCTGTCGACCATGGACTTGCTTGATACTACTTTCTCAACTTTTTGAAAATCAATTGAATGGTTAAAATCTCTTACATGAATAAATAGAGCATTGGAATCTTGTCCAGTTTTAATGCTATATTTATGTTGTTTTAATCTTAGTTCGAGATTTTTACCAGTTTGACCGTAATAAACTTTATCGCAAATTTTACAAGGAATCTTATAGACACATCCATCAGCATTTTGGGGGAATTCTTTATCAAAAGTTTTTTTACTATATCAAGATTTTTGAATACAACTTTAATATTAAAAGTCTTAAGAAGAGAAGGCATATCAACCAAGTTTTCATGGTAAGGGAGAACCAACATATTTTTAGTTGAATAAGGCTGGTTGTCCCTTTTTGGATTGTAAAAAGTATTTCTAGCAACTTTAAAAGATTTATCAATTACATTTCTTGGGTATTTTAAATCATTACCTATTTCATAAATTTTGGATATTTCCTCATCTATGAACTCAGGACTACAAATTCGTAAAGCTCTCAAAAACATTGATGAGAAAACAGACAGTTTGACTCTATCTTGATGCGAGGAATAATAGTGGACATAGGAACAGTTATTTGTAGGTTTTCTGTAAATTTTAAATTTGAATTCATTATTACCCTTAATAATTAAAACATCTAGAAAAGGCAATGAGTTATTTTCTGTATTTACTGTTGAGTTTGAAGAAAATAACTCATTGCCTTTTCTAGATGTTTTAATTATTAAGGGTAATAATGAATTCAAATTTAAAATTTACAGAAAACCTACAAATAACTGTTCCTATGTCCACTATTATTCCTCGCATCAAGATAGAGTCAAACTGTCTGTTTTCTCATCAATGTTTTTGAGAGCTTTACGAATTTGTAGTCCTGAGTTCATAGATGAGGAAATATCCAAAATTTATGAAATAGGTAATGATTTAAAATACCCAAGAAATGTAATTGATAAATCTTTTAAAGTTGCTAGAAATACTTTTTACAATCCAAAAAGGGACAACCAGCCTTATTCAACTAAAAATATGTTGGTTCTCCCTTACCATGAAAACTTGGTTGATATGCCTTCTCTTCTTAAGACTTTTAATATTAAAGTTGTATTCAAAAATCTTGATATAGTAAAAAAACTTTTGATAAAGAATTCCCCCCAAAATGCTGATGGATGTGTCTATAAGATTCCTTGTAAAATTTGCGATAAAGTTTATTACGGTCAAACTGGTAAAATCTCGAACTAAGATTAAAACAACATAAATATAGCATTAAAACTGGACAAGATTCCAATGCTCTATTTATTCATGTAAGAGATTTTAACCATTCAATTGATTTTCAAAAAGTTGAGAAAGTAGTATCAAGCAAGTCCATGGTCGACAGGAATATAATTGAATCTTGTTTCATAAAAAGCAGTTTTGACAATAATATGAATATTTCCTTTGGTTTATATAAATTAGATCCATTTATAATTAATAGAATTTGGGAAGAATTTAATAATACACTGGACAAACAATAATTTTTAAATTTTCTTGGGTAGAATAGTTTGTGGGTGAGTTGTGCAAAGGACCTATCCAAGTTGGGTCGGCGCGCGTCAGGTGTTTAACCGTTGTGGGATCTGATAGTGAGGTGTTGGCCAGACCCCTTATATAGCTTCCTTGGATGCTTTACTTTCATAGTTCCTTGATAATGTGAGTAGTCACGAAAGCGCTTGGAATTTCTCTATTCTTTCAGAGTGGTTGTTTTGCATATATATATATATATATATATATATATATATATATATATATATATATATATATATATATATATATATATATTATATAAACAAGTCGGCCGTCTCCCACCGAGGCAGGGTGACCCAAAAAGAAAAAAAATCCCCAAAAAGAAAATACTTTCATCACCATTCAACACTTTCACCTCACACATAATCACTGTTTTTGCAGAGGTGCTCAGAATACAACAGTTTAGAAGCATATGCGTATAAAGATACACAACATATCCCTCAAAACTGCCAATATCCCGAACCTCTCCTTTAGAGTGCAGGCATTGTATTTCCCATTTCCAGGACTCAAGTCCGGCTATATAAAATAACCGGTTTCCCTGAATCCCTTCACTAAATATTACCCTGCTCGCACTCCATCAGCTCGTCAAGTCCCAAATACCATTCGTCTCCATTCACTCCTATCTAACACGCTCACGCACGCTTGCTGGAAGTCCAAGCCCCTCGCCCACAACACCTCCTTTACCCCCTCCCTCCAACCTTTTCGAGGACGACCCCTACCCCGCCTTCCTTCCCCTACAGATTTATACACTCTCCATGTCATTCTACTTTGATCCATTCTCTCTAAATGACCAAACCACCGCAACAACCCCTCTTCAGCCCTCTGACTAATACTTTTATTAACTCCACAACTTCTCCTAATTACCACACTCCGAATTTTCTGAATAATATTTACACCACACATTGCCCTTAGACAGGACATCTCCACTGCCTCCAACCGTCTCCTCGCTGCAGCATTTACAACCCGAGCTTCACACACAAATATATATATATATATATATATATATATATATATATATATATATATATATATATATATATATATATATATATATATATATATATATATATATAATTTCCATTACACTCTTCTGTCTCATACAAAATATTTTGCAAGTTGCAAGTAGTTTAATATATATTTTTTAATTTGTAATTAAAAAGTCTGCCCAAAATGTTGTATATCACTAGGCTTTTTTTATTTATACTGAAACTTAAACCGTTTACTTGAAAATTATTATTATTATTATTATTATTATTATTATTATTATTATTATTATTATTATTATTAGTTTACAAGTGTAGCGTCTTCTTCCTTCTGTTAATAGTGTTAAGAAACCTTTAGCTATTCTAACGCATATATTGTGACTTAAGTAGTTATCTTGTGTTGTTTTTTCCTCTCATGAGTCAGTGAGGAAGTGTCTGGTGCCTTCAGCCTTTCTTAACTATTGTTCCCGAGATTGAGTCACTTTGGACAAGTCAGAAAGTGACTTACTAATCAGCAGTTTTTTGCCAGCATACAGTATCGTAACTATTATTATAGTCATGGGGGTTAGCACTAAGCCAGACAGTACTGTAGTAACTCCATTGCTTCCTCTCTAGACATTTCAGTATCCTGAATTTGAGGTAAATCCGCTGTATCTAAGCTACGACTGTCGTAAACACTTTATGGGACCCAATATTCACTATTTCACATTTCTTCTAATTCGGTGATTTTGTTGTCATCCTTTATTCCTTGTATTTTTTTTAATTTGTTTTTAACAGACGCAAATATAATGATTGGTTCTGTCTTTCTCGTGTTTACTTTTCGAAGTTACATTTATCCCGTTTCCTTATCTTCGTATAATTATCAAGTTATAATCGTTTTGTTGGAATCTTCTCTAAACTTCTGGGATTATGTATTTCTTATACTGGTTCCAAGTTTTCTTTGTTTTATCTAACTTTGTGTTCCTATCGCTGGTCTTTATTCCTAGTGTTGTGGTTTGTTCATTTTTACCCCTGGGGTTGTGTGGTCTCCATGGTGTTGGTTCTCACCCCTGGGGTTGTGTGGTCTCCATGGTGTTGGTTCTCACCCCTGGGGTTGTGTGGTCTCCATGGTGTTGGTTCTCACCCCTGGGGTTGTGTGGTCTCCATGGTGTTGGTTCTCACCCCTGGGGTTGTGTGGTCTCCATGGTGTTGGTTCTCACCCCTGGGGTTGTGTGGTCTCCATGGTGTTGGTTCTCACCCCTGGGGTTGTGTGGTCTCCATGGTGTTGGTTCTCACCCCTGGGGTTGTGTGGTCTCCATGGTGTTGGTTTTCGCCCCTGGGGTTGTGTGATCTCCATGGTGTTGGTTCTCACCCCTGGGGTTGTGTGGTTTCCATGGTGTTGGTTTTCACCCCTGGGGTTGTGTGGTCTCCATGGTGTTGGTTCTCACCCCTGGGGTTGTGTGGTCTCCATGGTGTTGGTTCTCACTCCTGGGGTTGTGTGGTCTCCATAGTGTTGGTTCTCACCCCTGGGGATGTGTGGTTTCCATGGTGTTGGTTCTCACCTCTGGGGTTGTGTGGTCTCCATGGTGTTGGTTCTCACCCCTGGGATTGTGTGGTCTCCATGGTGTTGGTTCTCACTCCTGGGGTTGTGTGGTCTCCATGGTGTTGGTTCTCACTCCTGGGGTTGTGTGGTCTCCATGGTGTTGGTTCTCACCCCTGGGGTTGTGTGGTCTCCATGGTGTTGGTTCTCACCCCTGGGGTTGTGTGGTCTCCATGGTGTTGGTTTTTCACTCCTGGGTTGTGTGGTCTCCATGGTGTTGGTTCTCACCCCTGGGGTTGTGTGGTCTCCATGGTGTTGGTTCTCACCCCTGGGGTTGTGTGGTCTCCATGGTGTTGGTTCTCACCCCTGGGGTTGTGTGGTCTCCATGGCGTTGGTTTTCACCCCTGGCGTTCTGTGGTCTCCATGGCGTTGGTTCTCACCCCTGGAGTTGTGTGGTCTCCATGGTGTTGGTTCTCACTCCTGGGGTTGTGTCTTCTCCATGGTGTTGGTTCTCACCCCTGGGGTTGTGTGGTCTCCATGGTGTTGGTTTTCACCCCTGGGGTTGTGTGGTCTCCATGGTGTTGGTTCTCACCCCTGGGGTTGTGTGGTCTCCATGGTGTTGGTTCTCACTCCTGGGGTTGTGTGTTCTCCATGGTGTTGGTTCTCACCCCTGGGGTTGTGTGGTCTCCATGGTGTTGGTTCTCACCCCTGGGGTTGTGTGGTCTCCATGGTGTTGGTTCTCACCCCTGGGGTTGTGTGGTCTCCATGGTGTTGGTTCTCACCCATGGGGTTGTGTGGTCTCCATGATGTTGGTTCTCACCCCTGGGGTTGTGTGGTCTCCATGGTGTTGGTTCTCACCCCTGGGGTTGTGTGGTCTCCATGGTGTTGGTTCTCACCCCTGGGGTTGTGTGGTCTCCATGGTGTTGGTTCTCACCCCTGGGATTGTGTGTTCTCCATGGTGTTGGTTCTCACCCCTGGGGTTGTGTTGTCTCCATAGTGTTGGTTTTCACTCCTGGGGTTGTGTGGTCTCCATGGTGTTGGTTCTCACTCCTGGGGTTGTGTGGTCTCCATGGTGTTGGTTCTCACCCCTGTGGTTGTGTGGTCTCCATGATGTTGGTTCTCACCCCTGGGGTTGTGTGGTCTCCATGGTGTTGGTTCTCACTCCTGGGGTTGTGTGGTCTCCATGGTGTTGGTTCTTACCCCTGGGGTTGTGTGGTCTCCATGGTGTTGGTTCTCACCCCTTTGGTTGTGTGGTCTCCATGGTGTTGGTTCTCACCCCTGGGGTTGTGTGGTCTCCATGGTGTTGGTTCTCACCCCTGGGGTTGTGGTCTCCATGGTGTTGGTTCTCACCCCTGGGGTTGTGTGGTCTCCATGGTGTTGGTTCTCACCCCTGGGGTTGTGTGGTCTCCATGGTGTTGGTTCTCACCCCTGGGGTTGTGTGGTCTCCATGGTGTTGGTTTTCACTCCTGGGGTTGTGTGGTCTCCATGGTGATGGTTCTCACCCCTGGGGTTGTGTGGTCTCCATGGTGTTGGTTCTCACCCCTGGGGTTGTGGTCTCCATGATGTTGGTTCTCACCCCTGGGGTTGTGTGGTCTCCATGGTGTTGGTTCTCACTCCTGGGGTTGTGTGGTCTCCATGGTGTTGGTTCTCACCCCTGGGGTTGTGTGGTCTCCATGGTATGGTTCTCACCCCTGGGGTTGTGTGGTCTCCATGGTGTTGGCTCTCACCCCTGGGGTTGTGTGGTCTCCATGGTGTTGGTTCTCACCCCTGGGGTTGTGTGGTCTCCATGGTGTTGGTTCTCACCCCTGGGGTTGTGTGGTCTCCATGGTGTTGGTTCTCACCCATGGGGTTGTGTGGTCTCCATGGTGTTGGTTCTCACCTCTGGGGTTGTGTGGTCTCCATGGTGTTGGTTCTCACCCCTGGGGTTGTGTGGTCTCCATGGTGTTGGTTCTCACCTCTGGGGTTGTGTGGTCTCCATGGTGTTGGTTCTCACCCCTGGGATTGTGCGGTCTCCATGGTGTTGGTTCTCACCCCTGGGGCTGTGTGTTCTCCATGGTGTTGGTTCTCACTCCTGGGGTTGTGTGTTCTCCATGGTGTTGGTTCTCACTCCTGGGGTAGTTCTTCACCCAATGTTGTGTGGTCCCTATACTACTACTATTCTCCACCCCTAGTGTTATGTGCTCCCTATGCTGTTAGTTTTGACTCTTGGTACTGTATGATTCCCGTGTTCCTCACCCTAGTTATGTGTGGTTCTTGTAGTGTCGATCCTTGACTCTATGGTTTCTTTTGTTTGATACCTTATTGCCTTGCAGTTATGTTTATGTTTTGAATTAAAAAATTTCCATTATACCTTATTCCTTTTCAGATCTCAATTGTACTCATAATACCATGTGTTTTGCCTAATTATTTCATTTTATTCAACTCTTCTGCGGTTAGCTCTGTACTTTCAGTTGTATGATCTTCAATTCCTCAGTGTGTTTAAATTCATACATGTCATACCTAATACTATTCTCGCTCTTGAACAAGACAGTGTAGTCCCTGATGCGCTTGTTGTGCAGTTATTTGGTTTATGTCTATATTGTTATGTAATTCTAAACACTAAGGTCAAAGATCCCTTATTTTCTGCCACCTAATACCCTCTGGCCCACTACTCACCTTCTCTGGAGAGTAAGCATTTGGCGCAGGCTTTGGACTGTTATCGGTGGGCAAGCTGGTCTTTGGGGACATAGTAAAGGCTGGCGTTTTCTCTTTGCACTTATCAAGATCACCAGAGTTGTAAGTGCCTGGGCCTGGGATGTTCATTTTGTCCACTTCGTCAGCAGGTCTGGGAGCCATGGTGAACTTGGGACCGGAGGGCTGATACTGAACACGAAAGTTACATGCAGTGCAGAGTGCCGGGGAGTACAGTGCCAAATATTAGGAACTAATTATATCTCAAATGAGACAGGTAATGTGCATATAAATTACAAGTTTTGAAGACTGTAACAAACCTCCATCAAACAAGAGCATCTGTTATGAATGAATAACTTTCCTTCTTGATAATAACACCAGAGAAACTGTGATGTTTCTACCTGCCTGCTCCCTAGCGACTGCTTACCTGCTGCCTCACCCTAGCGACTGCTTACCTGCTGCCTCACCCTAGCGACTGCTTACCTGCTGCATCACCCTAGCGACTGCTTACTTGCTGGATCACCCTAGCGACTGCTTACCTGCTCCATCACCCTAGCGACTGCTTACTTGCTGCATCAACCTAGCGACTGCTTACCTGCTGCATCAACCTAGCGACTGCTTACCTGCTGCATCACCCTAGCGACTGCTTACCTGCTGCATCACCCTAGCAACTGCTTACCTGCTGCCTCACCCTAGCAACTGCTTACCTGCTGCATCACCCTAGCAACTGCTTACCTGCTTCATCGCCCTAGCAACTGCTTACTTGCTGCCTCACCCTAGCAACTGCTTACCTGCTGCATCACCCTAGCAACTGCTTACCTGCTGCATCACCCTAGCAACTCTACAGTCTCTCAGTAACACCTACTGGCTGGTGAATAAGGACTGGGTACAAGTTTTTCAATATAACACGTCACAGGATGTACTCGAGTCGGAGACACATCCACGAAAACCTTGAGACCATCCTAGCAGTGAAAGAAGGACCTACTCCCAGTTGAAGGAGATTGATAAATCTAATCACAGATTCAATATTAGGACTAGGTGTGAGACGAGAAATATCTGCCAATCTTTTAAATAGAATATTTGTGGCATACGAGAAGCTGGACATACTTGAGTCTGGCTTCGTCTTGTGATGGGATACAGGGTGAGAGTTGCTGGCAGGAGTCTGAGTTACTGTACAGTCTTTGAGCAGTCACCAGTGTTATTACCTATTTGAAGCTACAAGAACACAGCTAATGTACATCTATCCATATTTATTATAATCAAAAGAAGCGCTAAACCTACAAGGGTCATACAGTTATCCATATTTATATGCTTCTATTTATAAGGAATGCACAGTTAACCTGCCACTAATATTAATGTATGTTTGAAAATATTATTTATTATTATTAATATAGTGGTAATTATGTTTGTGGTGGTTATACCACATACTGCCTCCTCGTACATATCATTCCAACAGTTTACCACAATTTACAAACATTATTTTTCTCAGTTTCACACCTGTGGCTTCTTGTGTTTTTCGTGGCGACGGCGCTGACAAGTCTTCGTGTGTGTTTATATACTGTTATAATTTTATACTTAACGGTTATCACGTCCCTCCTTTTCCTATGAGCCCACGAAGTCCTTGGCACCCTTGGCACTATTAGTGCCCTTGGTATCTTGGTACTTGCTTCATTATTATAATAGGGAAGCGCTAAACCTGTAGGATTATACAGCGCCTGTGAGGGGGAGGGGATGAAAGATATTCAGGCTTAATTTAGGGAACTGGAGCACAGATCCAGCGTCAAGGAACCTCCCTTAAGGGGGGGGGGTAAGTCTTCACGACTCTTGCCTGTCAAGAGTCTTGATGCTGGTGAAGATCAAGCGGACATGTTAGTGTTCACTGTTTATACCGACCACCAGCAGCGGCAGCGCCACGGTTTACTACACTCAGGTGACTGTCTGGCTGGAAGCGGCAGGGGAGGGTGGCTGCCAGACTTGTTTTGAATTAGGGTTGAGGGAAGTTTTGGGGGCTTCAGCTCCCTTAGCCCCTCCTTGGCGTCGCCACTGACCATCCGGATGCAAATGGTTTTTAAACCAGCGAGAGGGAAGTTCTGAATCATGGTCCGGTCACCATGCTGTTAACTAGTTCAGCTATCATAACTTTGCGGTCCAGTCACTGGACCCATTATGTACCTCTGTAATCTTGTGACTACCACCCACAGGATGGGTATGAGATGCATAATAAACATAATAAACTAAAGTAAAACTATGGCGTATAAATATACGTAGTTGGATGATCTTATTGTAGTCAACTGATCCAGTGGCTAACGTGTCGGTCTAGAGTTTTATGACTCACTCACCGCGGGTTCAATCCACGCCCGTACAATGTTTTTTTTTTTTTTAAGACTGGTCTACTGGCCTACCAGACACTCAAGTTCCCCGGTCACCAGCCCGGTCGCCAGCCCGGCCGCAGCTAGCGGGAGGAGGATGGAACCTCCATTACTCCTCGTGTCGAATGACCCATACGGATTTAGCGCTTCTCCTTAAGTAGAATAACGATACACCATAATATATACTGCCTGACTTTCATACGTAATTGCGCAATTGTATGATCACTAGTGTGTAAATAAAAAAGGCACAATACCGTGACTGAAACGATACACAAATAACCCGTCGTAAGCTCCTCTCTTCTATGTGCGGGTTATTTGTGTATTACTAGTGTGCCATTCTAGCCCATAATGAATACACACACACACACACACACACACACACACACACACACACACACACACACACACACACACACTCGAGCCCCTGGTTTACCCGACGGTGTAAGGAGGCAAAAACAAAGTGCAATAGAGAATGGAAAAAGTACAGAAGGCAGAGAACACACGAAAATAGGGAGATCAGTCGCAGAGCCAGGAATGAGTATGCACAGGTAAGGAGGGAGGCCCAGCGACAGTATGAAAATGACATAGCATCGAGAATAAAGACTGACCCGAAACTGTTGTATAGCCACATCAGGAGGAAGACAACAGTCAAAGACCAGGTGATCAGATTAAGGACAGAAGGTGGAGAACTCACAAGAAATGATCAGGAGGTATGTGAGGAGCTGAACAGGAGATTTAAGGGGTTTTTTACAGTAGACAGGAAGGGCTGTGGGAAGACAGCACAGAAGGGAACATCAAGAGGGAATATACCAACAAGTGTTGGATGACATACGAACAACTGAGGAGGAGGTGAAGAAGCTCTTAAGTGACCTTGACACCTCAAAGGCGATGGGACCGGACAACATCTCCCCATGGGTCCTTAGAGAAGGAGCAGAGATGTTGTGCGTGCCTCTAACCACAATCTTCAACACATCCCTTGAAACTGGGCAACTACCTGAGAAATGGAAGACAGCTAATGCAGTCCCCATATTTAAGAAAGGAAACAGAAACGAGGCACTAAACTACAGACCTGTGTCTCTGACATGCATTGTGTGCAAAGTCATGGAGAAGATTATCAGGAGGAGAGTGGTCGAACACCTGGAAAGGAACAAGATTATAAATGAAAACCAGCATGGGTTCATGGAAGGCAAATCCTGTATCACAAACCTCCTGGAGTTTTATGACAAGGTAACAGAAGTAAGACACGAGAGAGAGGGGTGGGTAGATTGCGTTTTCCTAGACTGCAGGAAGGCCTTTGACACAGTTCCCCACAAGAGATTAGTGCAGAAGCTGGAGGATCAGGCGCATGTAAAAGGGAGGGCACTGCAATGGATAAGGGAATACCTGACAGGGAGGCAGCAACGAGTCATGGTACGTGAAGAGGTATCACAGTGGGCGCCTGTGACGAGCGGGGTCCCACAGGGGTCAGTTCTAGGACCAGTGCTATTTTTGATATATGTGAACAACATGATGGAGGGAATAGACTCTGAAGTGTCCCTGTTCGCAGATGACGTGAAGTTGATGAGAAGAATTAAATCGGACGAGGATGAGGCAGGACTGCAAAGAGACCTGGACAGGCTGGACATGTGGTCCAGTAACTGGCTTCTCGAATTCAATCCAGCCAAATGCAAAGTCATGAAGATTGGGGAGGGGCAAAGAAGACCGCAGACAGAGTATAGGCTAGGTGGACAAAGACTACAGACCTCACTCAGGGAGAAAGACCTTGGGGTGACCATAACACCGAGCACATCACCGGAGGCACACATCAACCAAATAACTGCTGCAGCATACGGGCGCCTGGCAAACCTGAGAATAGCGTTCCGATACCTTAATAAGGAATCGTTCAAGACACTGTACACTGTGTATGTTAGGCCCATACTGGAGTATGCAGCACCAGTCTGGAACCCACACCTGGTCAAGCACGTCAAGAAGTTAGAGAAAGTACAAAGGTTTGCAACAAGGCTAGTCCCAGAGCTCAAGGGAATGTCGTGCGAGGAAAGGTTAAGGGAAATCGGACTGACGACACTGGAGGACAGAAGGGTCAGGGGAGACATAACGACATACAAGATACTGCGGGGAATAGACAAGGTAAGGTGGACAGAGATAGGATGTTCCAGAGAGGGGACACAGGGACAAGGGGTCACAACTGGAAGCTGAAGACTCAGACGAGTCACAGGGACGTTAGGAAGTATTTCTTCAGTCAGCAAGTGGAATAGCCTAGCAAGTGAAGTAGTGGAGGCAGGAACCATACATAGTTTTAAGAAGAGGTATGACAAAGCTCAGGAAGCAGAGAGAGGACCCAGTAACGATCAGTGAAGAGGCGGGGCCAGGAGCTGAGTCTCGACCCCTGCAACCACAATTAGGTGAGTACACACACACACACTATATATATATATATATATATATATATATATATATATATATATATATATATATATATATATATATATATATATATATATATATATAAACATGCACATACATACATAGGGATGTCAGGAAGTATTTCTTCAGTCACAGAGTTTTCAGGAAGTGAAATAGTCTGGGAAGCGATGTAGTGGAGGCAGGATCCATACATAGCTTTAAGAAGAGGTATGATAAAGCTAATGGAGCAGGAAGAGTGACCTAGTAGCGACCAGTGAAGAGACGGGGCCAGTAACTGTGAATCGACCCCTGCAACCACAACTAGGTGAGTACACACACACACACACACACACACACACACACACTAATAATTTTCTAAAAAATACAACTCTTCTAAAATCCGCTAATGATACAAAATTGTGGACTTAATTTTGTTTCAGATTTGGGTTTGTGTCGAATCTCACGGATCACATCTCTGTAAGTTTGGGTCTAATCTGGTTAATGTTGACGTTCATGGGGAAGAATGACCAGGAACGAGAGAGATCTCGGCTCTGGAAAAATGCCTTCAACACATTCTGAAGGAAATCCTGTTAACTTTCAATTTCTACGCAAGTTAACTATCAGTTAGAATGTTGGAAAATTAAAGTCAGTGTACTGGAAATCCTTTAAATTTGGGGACAGTTTATGTAGTATTTCTTCATGTCCATTAATGTGTATTCTTAGTGTATAGTTCCTCACTCACACTGTTGTATAATCTATATTGTAAGACTCATTAATGAGTGTATTGTTGCTGAGTTATACACCTTCTTCCTCTTATATGTTTACCTGGAGTTTACGTGGAGAGGGTTTCGGGGGTCAACGCCCCCTCGGCCCGGTCTGAGACCAGGTCTCATGGTGGATAAGGGCCTGATCAACGTTGCTTATTGAGTAGTACCAGTTACGAGAGCTTTACCTCAGTGTTATGCCTGATGTGCATTCCTACTGAAAACACACTTCTCTGCTTCCTGCTTTCAAAAAAAAAAAAAAATCAAGAATATGTTTACATTTTTTCTTATCGATGAGCAACACTGTATTTGAGAACCCAGAATCTCTTACTCCCACCACGCACTCTGCTGTGTTGCCCTTCCTATGTAGTGAAGTTCCTACAGTGTAATAAAATATTTTCTTTCACTCTATGTGCTCTTTATCTCCTTGTACCCACCAGTTCTGAACTAGCAGGAATAAGGTCCCTATCATTTTTGGTACAGTATACCATGTAACTAGCTACCCACCTTCTCTGGAGAGTAAGCATTTGGCGCAGGCTTTGGACCGTTATCGGTGGGCAAGCTGGTCTTTGGGGACATAGTAAAGGCTGGCGTTTTCTCTCTGCACTTATCAAGATCACCAGAGTTGTAAGTGCCTGGGCCTGGGATGTTCATTTTGTCCACTTCGTCAGCAGGTCTGGGAGCCATGGTGAACTTGGGACCGGAGGGCTGATACTGAACACGAAAGTTACATGCAGTGCAGAGTGCCGGAGAGTAGTGCCAAGCGTTATGTGCAAGTTGTGTCTCATTTTAAGCTTGCAAAATGCATTTCGTACCTTACTAAATTAAGCAAAACAAACCTTTTATAGACGATCTTTTTATTATAAATTAATTTTAAATGGTGTTTTGGGCTATACTATCTATCATACTGTGCAGTAACTGAATGACAATACTACCTCAATAAATTTGAAGACAATACCTTTTCAGGGCAGTGTGCTCCCGGTCCAGGCTTCATGGTATGATCCGAGGGAATGGTAGTACGCTGACCCATGCTGAAGCTGGGACTCTTGATAGTCTTATACTTGTCTACTGTGGATTCATTATAAGAACCAGGACCTGGCACCTTCATCTTGTCTTCCTCAGGAGGAGGGCGGGAAGACATGCTGAAGCTTGGAGCTGAGTGCTTGGAGCCCTCCTTGGTGGAGCCCAGCAAGGACGGGATGTTGTAGCTGTTTGGAGCTGTGGAAAAAAAATGATAAGTTATACATAACTTAAAAGTAGACAAAAGTGGTTTGCTGCTCACTACTTAGCGATTACAATCTTTAAAAGAGACAGTCTACGTCCTGTTTGCCATCTTCCATAATTAGCAAGGTAATCAATAGCCTCTCCATATAAACACCTGTTATAACTTTTTTCATTTATATGCGTGTCCACACATTTGTATGTACACAAACTCCTTCCACCTTATTCTATTTATACCACCAATCCTTCCATTCAGTACTGTATACCATACATGTACAACTTTCTAAATACGTTTATTATACAAGATGTTCCTTATTGTCACATGGCTAATTAATAACTATAGCTAGCACGTGAACCTGTGAACAGGTTCACGTGCTGTAGGTTTCCTATCCTTGCTAAGACTAATTACTAGAGCAGCCATCAGATACACTCCAGTGTCTGTGACCAGCATCACTGTATGTTGTGTCACTACGCTGTCTCGAGTCATGACAATGCTACCAGTGTTTCCCCATATAACAGTCATCTATCAGACGATTGTTTATGCAACGATTGCTACTGGCAGTACCATGGGCAGCAAGTGCTTGTTGGGCACACTATTTTCTGCAAATTGGATAAAAATTGCCTTCGTTACAAAGCCTATCCTACTGAGCCCCGGGTTATAAAGGCTTGTCAGTGTAGGGAAAACTGCACAGGAGACGCTGACAACCCTTACAATATAATGTCAAGCATTCACTTAGTCAAATTATTATACATAATTGTTCATCGTACGGCTAGCAACACATGATTCATTCTGGTGCACCAGACTAGTGTGACAGTGTCTAAACACTTCTGGAGTTTTACCTGGAGAGAGTTCCGGGGGTCAACGCCCCCGCGGCCCGGTCTGTGACCAGGCCTCCTGGTGTATCAGAGCCTGATCAACCAGGCTGTTACTGCTGGCTGCACGCAAACCAACGTACGAGCCACAGCCCGGCTGATCAGGAACCGACTTTAGGTGCTTGTCCAGTGCCAGCTTGAAGACTGCCAGGGGTCTGTTGGTAATCCCCCTTATGTATGCTGGGAGGCAGTTGAACAGTCTCGGGCCCCTGACACTTATTGTATGGTCTCTTAACGTACTAGTGACACTTCTCACAAGTGTAACCCCAAATTATTTTTAATATATTTATCAATTACTTCAATTATCATTTATCTCCTCAATATCTTAACACAGATTATTTATAGGCTAGAAATGCTTCTTCTAGCAAATACCAAAAGTATTTCATATAAAGAACTTATAATTTTCCAAACACAGTATAAATATTTTAATAATGTAGAAATGTGCAACACTTGGGTATCTTTGTTGAGGAAACGTTTCGCCACACAGTGGCTTCATCAGTCCATACAAAGGAGAATGGTGAAGAACAGGAGTTTGAGGTAATCAGTCCCTCACCCTTGAATTGATGTAATCAGTCCATCAATATTGAAGAGATTGATGGACTAATTATATCGACTCAAGGCTGAGGGACTAATTACCTCAAACTCTTTCACTTCTTTCACCGTTCTTCACAGTATTGGACTGAAGAAGCCACTGGCTGACGAAACGTTTCCTCAGTAAAGATTCATAAATGTTTTTTAAACCATTTACATCACATGCTGAAACCCACCCGGAGCGTCCGAAGGTTTACCGTCTTCAGTCTTGACGCCGAAGGAGAAGCTTGGAGAACCCTCGCTCACTTTGGCTTCAGCTTTGTCCGGAGAATAGTCACACGGTGCCGGAGTGACATACATCTTTGGGTCCTTAGGTTTGATGTGCATGGAGGCCGCTACTGGTTCGTCCTTACCTGAACACAAACCATACAGTCAAGGCTACATGCAGTGATAAACCACACAGTCAAGGCTACATGCAGTGATAAACCACACAGTCAAGGCTACATGCAGTGATAAACCACACAGTCAAGGCTACATGCAGTGATAAACCACACAGTCAAGGCTACATGCATTGATAAACCACACAGTCAAGGCTACATGCAGTGATAAACCACACAGTCAAGGCTACATGCAGTGATAAACCACACAGTCAAGGCTACATGCAGTGATAAACCACACAGTCAAGGCTACATGCAGTGATAAACCACACAGTCAAGGCTACATGCAGTGATAAACCACACAGTCAAGGCTACATGCAGTGATAAACCACACAGTCAAGGCTACATGCAGTGATAAACCACACAGTCAAGGCTACATGCAGTGATAAACCACACAGTCAAGGCTACATGCAGTGATAAACAATACAGTCAAGGCTACATGCAGTGATAAACCACACAGTCAAGGCTACATGCAGTGATAAACCACACAGTCAAGGCTACATGCAGTGATAAACCACACAGTCAAGGCTACATGCAGTGATAAACCACACAGTCAAGGCTACATGCAGTGATAAACCACACAGTCAAGGCTACACGCAGTGATAAACCACACAGTCAAGGCTACATGCAGTGATAAACCACACAGTCAAGGCTACATGCAGTGATAAACCACACAGTCAAGGCTACATGCAGTGATAAACCACACAGTCAAGGCTACATGCAGTGATAAACCACACAGTCAAGGCTACACGCAGTGATAAACCACACAGTCAAGGCTACACGCAGTGATAAACCACACAGTCAAGGCTACATGCAGTGATAAACCACACAGTCAAGGCTACATGCAGTGATAAACCACACAGTCAAGGCTACACGCAGTGATAAACCACACAGTCAAGGCTACATGCAGTGATAAACCACACAGTCAAGGCTACATGCAGTGATAAACCACACAGTCAAGGCTACATGCAGTGATAAACCACACAGTCAAGGCTACATGCAGTGATAAACCACACAGTCAAGGCTACATGCAGTGATAAACCACACAGTCAAGGCTACATGCAGTGATAAACCACACAGTCAAGGCTACATGCAGTGATAAACCACACAGTCAAGGCTACATGCAGTGATAAACCACACAGTCAAGGCTACACGCAGTGATAAACCACACAGTCAAGGCTACATGCAGTGATAAACCACACAGTCAAGGCTACATGCAGTGATAAACCACACAGTCAAGGCTACATGCAGTGATAAACCACACAGTCAAGGCTACATGCAGTGATAAACCACACAGTCAAGGCTACATGCAGTGATAAACCACACAGTCAAGGCTACATACAGTGATAAACCACACAGTCAAGGCTACATACAGTGATAAACCACACAGTCAAGGCTACATGCAGTGATAAACCACACAGTCAAGGCTACATACAGTGATAAACCACACAGTCAAGGCTACATGCAGTGATAAACCACACAGTCAAGGCTACATGCAGTGATAAACCACACAGTCAAGGCTACATGCAGTGATAAACCACACAGTCAAGGCTACATGCAGTGATAAACCACACAGTCAAGGCTACATGCAGTGATAAACCACACAGTCAAGGCTACATACAGTGATAAACCACACAGTCAAGGCTACATACAGTGATAAACCACACAGTCAAGGCTACATGCAGTGATAAACCACACAGTCAAGGCTACATACAGTGATAAACCACACAGTCAAGGCTACATGCAGTGATAAACCACACAGTCAAGGCTACATGCAGTGATAAACCACACAGTCAAGGCTACATGCAGTGATAAACCACACAGTCAAGGCTACATGCAGTGATAAACCACACAGTCAAGGCTACATGCAGTGATAAACCACACAGTCAAGGCTACATGCAGTGATAAACCACACAGTCAAGGCTACATACAGTGATAAACCACACAGTCAAGGCTACATACAGTGATAAACCACACAGTCAAGGCTACATGCAGTGATAAACCACACAGTCAAGGCTACATGCAGTAATAAACCACACAGTCAAGGCTACATACAGTGATAAACCACACAGTCAAGGCTACATGCAGTGATAAACCACACAGTCAAGGCTACATGCAGTAATAAACCACACAGTCAAGGCTACATACAGTGATAAACCACACAGTCAAGGCTACATGCAGTGATAAACCACACAGTCAAGGCTACATGCAGTGATAAACCACACAGTCAAGGCTACATGCAGTGATAAACCACACAGTCAAGGCTACATGCAGTAATAAACCACACAGTCAAGGCTACATACAGTGATAAACCACACAGTCAAGGCTACATGCAGTGATAAACCACACAGTCAAGGCTACATGCAGTGATAAACCACACAGTCAAGGCTACATGCAGTGATAAACCACACAGTCAAGGCTACATGCAGTGATAAACCACACAGTCAAGGCTACATGCAGTAATAAACCACACAGTCAAGGCTACATACAGTGATAAACCACACAGTCAAGGCTACATGCAGTGATAAACCACACAGTCAAGGCTACATGCAGTGATAAACCACACAGTCAAGGCTACATGCAGTGATAAACCACACAGTCAAGGCTACATGCAGTGATAAACCACACAGTCAAGGCTACATGCAGTGATAAACCACACAGTCAAGGCTACATGCAGTGATAAACCCTCTGAAGGGATAAATGTAACACATAAAACTTTGTTTGAAATGGTATAAAATACGGATAAGTTGATGATTAAGACACATGTGCAACAGTTAGGTATGTTATTGCTGCAATGTTTCACCTACACAGTAGACTACTTCAGTCACATACAAAGGCAGTAGGTGTAGTAGTGGAATGATGATGTAATCAGTTCATTAACTTTGAATCGATATCGTTTCAGACCGTGGAACTGAACTCTCATCCAGGCTGAGGGACTGACCACCTCAAATACTGTTTCTCCAAGGTTGATGGACTGATTACATCTTCATTTCACTACTACACCTGCTGCCTCTGTATTTGACTGAAGAAGCCTACTGTGTAGGTGAAACATTTCAGCAATAAAGATACCTGACTGTTGCACATGTGTCTTCGTGAGTTTAGATTTGAAAACGACCTGCCAGGCATGGGCCAGTAGGCCTGCTGCAGTGTTCCTCTATTTTTGTGTTAATTACTTATCTGAAGGTTAGCTGGCTTAAGATTCAATGAATTTCAGCAAATATACAGTAAAACCGGGCTAGGAGCCATGAATCGACCCCTGCAAACACAACTAGGTGAGTACGACTGAGCAGGAGAGTAACCTACCCTTATTGGAGAGACCAGTCACGTTATACTGGCCAGGTCCTGGGCCAGCTTTATCTAACTTTGGTTCATGACGACTGCCCATAGTGAACGCTGGTGGACGGCTCCTTGTCGCTCCGCCTGAACCTGACCAGGGAAAAAATGTTAACATTAATGTAATTACTCAGAAAATTATGTCAATTAGCATATAATTAGTTTGTAGAAAATACAATAGGGTAGAAGAGGTTGTGTCGATATGTATAGACGTAGAGTAGCTAGAGGGAGTATAGATGTGTATAGACGTACATTAGCTAGAGGGAACATAGATGTGATGGACTAATTACATCGTCTTTACATCTCTACTGCTTCTGCCAACTCCTCTGTACTCGACTAAAGACGCCTACTGTGTAGGCGAAATATTTTGGAATAAAGATGCCTAACCGTTGCACATGTGTCTGCTCCTGTAACTATAAATGGGTAATCATACACGGGAATGGAGGTGGACCTGGGGTCACAACTTTCACCAGAGATGACCTTGCTGGAGCGTGGCTGGCAGGCAGCAGATGATCCACACCAACTCCCCACAATCACTACCTCTTTTCTCTTAATAACACTGGATACAACCACAATGTAGAGCTGCGCTATTCTGTAAGTGGGAACAGAAGCTGTTTCTACCCACGTCGCACTCCACCACACGGGATGGATTTCAAACGTGCTGAAGTCTGCCAACCTAAGTTGACAGACTTCAGCACGAGGATGAGGATATCGTCCAGCGTTCCACGTGTACGAGGTCAACAGCTACAACAATCTTCAAAGATTTCGTTCCAGCAGACCTGGAGTTACTATTACGTAGGAATTACCTTCTCCGAGGATGGTTCCCACACGGGAAATGGAAACTAAGGATGTAATCACACGAATAATATATATATATATATATATATATATATATATATATATATATATATATATATATATATATATATATATATATATATATATAACGAGAGAGAGAGGAAGGGGGCCAAGGTTTAGCCTATTCTTCAAAAATGTGTTTCATCTACTTATCACACGAGTGAGAGACAAAGAAGGATGCTGGGATGGAGGCTGTTAGGATGGAAGCGGGTGTGATGAAGGAACAATACATGGATCTAGTGTGACCATCACCTCTAACCTGCCACCCACGTCAGGAGACAGCTGGCGGCAGCATCCAGGGCCACTGACATCTGTACGTCAAAGGGTCATTAACACCTGTACATTCAGGGTCACAAAGATCAGTATATCCAGGGCTCACTAGCAGTAGGGTGATCAGGTGTACTGTTATCAACAGGTGGAGGGTGATCAACAGGTGTGGCAAGGGATTCAGAAAGTGAGTCACTGTGGCCTCTGACACACACACACACACACACACACACACACACACACACACACACAATGTTTCAGAGATGGGACACAGCAACAAGGGGTCACAGCTGGAAGCTGAAAACTCAGGCGAGTCACAGGGATGTTAGGAAGTGTTTCTTCAGTCATAGTGTTGTCATGAAGTGGAACAATTGGGAAAGTGATGTAGTGGAGGCAGGATCCATACAAAGTTTTAAGAAGAGGTTCGATACAGCTCATGGAGAAGGAAGAGAGTGGACCTAGTAGCGACGAGGAGGGGCCAGGAGCTATGTATGAATCGACCCCTGCAACTACAAGTAGGTGAGTACATAAACACACCTGCAACACCGCAGGAGGTAGGTGTGTGTGTGTGTGACAGGTGTGGCAGGCAGAGAGAGAGAGAGAGAGAGAGAGAGAGAGAGGGGGAGGGAAGGAGGGAGATAGAGAGAGGGAGGGGCGGAGTGCGGGCGTGGGCACACTGCAACCAGGAAGAGCCTGCCATCTTTGGGCAAGAGGTACTTACAGTCGCCCAAAACACACACACACACACACACACACACACACACACACACACACACACACACACACACACACACACATTGTTTACCTTAGGTAAGGACAGGATATTCCTCCTCATCCACCTTGTTGTAATTCTCATGTGAATAACACCGTAACATGTTAACCTACCACTTCTAACACTGATATCCATGTTAACCTACCATTTATAACACTGGAATTGCTTTTGCTATGGGCCTTCCACAGTTGTCCCAGGGGTCTAGTTTAGAGCCCCACAATGTCCTCTTGCTGTGGGGGCCCCTACTGTTTGGGTGGGGCTTGTATAGGGGCCGCCTTGTTCCTAAGATTGCTGTTCTAACACTGGTATCCCTATTAACTGGTGCTTCAAATTTTGGTATCCCTGTTAATTGTTGCAAGCGTACACTAGTAGTGTGATGATTGTTGCAAGCGTACACTAGTGGTGTGATGATTGTTGCAAGCGTACACTAGTAGTGTGATAATTGTTGCAAGCGTACACTAGTGGTGTGATGATTGTTGCAAGCGTACACTAGTGGTGTGATGATTTACCTGGGCTGACTTCTCCCGTTTGTACCTCTCTATTAACCTGTCTGTTTGGATAAGATAATCATGTATCAACAGAGCGGTCCGTTTGTCCGTCCGTCCGTCCACCCTGCAACAACAGCAGGAGCAGCTAAGTAGGAACAGCAACAGCAGCAGCCAGGGATACATCACCATGTTAGTGAATCCAGGGTGGTGCTGTTGACTACCCTCTCCACCCTTCCTCATTCACCTTCTCCCCATACTTCAGCCCCCTCCCCCATCCATGCAACCCTCTTCCCCCTCCACGCCCCCCCCCTTCAAGCCGTAAGCAATCTTCATTAATGGTGCAACAGTTCTGCCTGACACCCACAGGTGTGGCACCTCCACGATGTCTGACACACACACACACACACACACACACACACACACACACACACACACACACACACACACACACACACACACACACACAGGACTCGACCCCTGCAACCTCAACTAGGTGAGTACACACACACACACACACACACACACACACACACACACACACACACACACACACACACAAACGAAATACCATAACTAGTTAAAGTGCTTGGAAGAAGATGTAGCTAAAAGTCAGGAAAAAAATGAGAGAGAAACCTGTGGAGATGAAGGCATCGGCACACACAGTGTGTGTGTCAGCACCCACAGTGTGTGTGTCAGCACCCACAGTGTGTGTGTCAGCACCCACAGTGTGTGTGTCAGCACCCACAGTGTGTCAGCACCCACAGTGTGTGTGTGTGTGTCAGCACCCACAGTGTGTGTCAGCACCCACAGTGTGTCAGCACCCACAGTGTGTCAGCACCCACAGTGTGTGTGTCAGCACCCACAGTGTGTGTGTCAGCACCCACAGTGTGTCAGCACCCACAGTGTGTCAGCACCCACAGTGTGTCAGCACCCACAGTGTGTCAGCACCCACAGTGTGTGTGTCAGCACCCACAGTGTGTGTGTCAGCACCCACAGTGTGTGTGTCAGCACCCACAGTGTGTGTGTCAGCACCCACAGTGTGTGTGTCAGCACCCACAGTGTGTGTGTCAGCACCCACAGTGTGTGTGTCAGCACCCACAGTGTGTGTGTCAGCACCCACAGTGTGTGTGTCAGTACCCACTGTGTGTGTCAGTACCCACAGTGTCAGCACCCACAGTGTCAGCACCCACAGTGTGTCAGCACCCACAGTGTGTGTGTCAGCACCCACAGTGTGTGTGTCAGCACCTACAATGTGTGTGTCAGCACCCACAGTGTGTCAGCACCCACAGCATGTGTCAGCACCCACAGTGTGTGTGTCAGCACCCAGAGCATGTGTCAGCACCCACAGTGTGTGTGTCACCACCCACAGTATGTGAGTCAGCACCCACAGTATGTGTCACAGTGCGTGTCAGCACCCACAGTGTGTGTCAGCACCAACAGTATGTGTCAGCACCCACAGTATGTGTCAGCACCCACAGTATGTGTCAGCACCCACAGTATATGTCAGCACCAACTGTCTGTCAGCACACAAACTCAAGACGTCTCAAATTGTGTCAACAACAAAAAATACTATATAACTATTATGTCACGGAAATACACAATGATGTTATTAACCACAGTCAAAGAAATCTTTTCAACATTCAGATGAAGGAAAAATGTCGCTCGGAAAAAATGTATTTTCTACCAACCCGAGAATGTAAAATCTCAGAGGAAAAGTAATGTTATATATCTAGATTCTCTGTTTATCTTTCTGTAAAAGGTAGGAAAGTTTACAGTTTTAGTCGTGAAAGTAAAAAAACAAAAGAGAAACAACAGTCAGAGACTCGGAAGAGATAACATCGACTCCAGGCTGAGGGATTGATTACCTCAAACTCCTTCTGATCTTCACCATTCTTCTTTGTATTGGACTGATGAAGCCACTGTGTGGCGAAACGTTTCCTCGGTAAAGATACCCAGGTGTTGCCAGTGTGTGATTCATCATAACAATGGTCACCTGACACTGGGTGGAAGAATACCAACTAACATACACTAAGATGGAAGGTTCCGTAGAGGAGAACTAACAAGATGTGTCTAGACGAGTGTCACCTGAACCACTCTCACCACCGGTACTGAACCGCTCTCACCACCGGTACTGAACCACTCTCACCACCGGTACTGAACCGCTCTCACCACCGGTACTGAACCACTCTCACCACCGGTACTGAACCACTCTCACCACCGGTACTGAACCGCTCTCACCACCGGTACTGAACTGCTCTCACCACCGGTACTGAACCGCTCTCACCACCGGTACTGAACCGCTCTCACCACCGGTACTGAACCGCTCTCACCACCGGTACTGAACCGCTCTCACCACCGGTACTGAACCGCTCTCACCACCGGTACTGAACCGCTCTCACCACCGGTACTGAACCGCTCTCACCACCGGTACTGAACTGCTCTCACCACCGGTACTGAACTGCTCTCACCACCGGTACTGAACCGCTCTCACCACCGGTACTGAACCACTCTCACCACCGGTACTGAACTGCTCTCACCACCGGTACTGAACCGCTCTCACCACCAGTACTGAACCGCTCTCACCACCGGTACTGAACCACTCTCACCACCGGTACTGAACCGCTCTCACCACCGGTACTGAACCGCTCTCACCACCGGTACTGAACCGCTCTCACCACCGGTACTGAACCGCTCTCACCACCGGTACT